TATGTCATGTGTAGTTTTATCTGCTAAATCATTGCCTAAACTAAGGGCTCCAGGCAATCCTGTATGTGCCCTAATATGTCCTATAAAGAATGGATCTTTTCTGTCCCAGATTAGACTTTGTATAGTGGAAAACAAAGAGAAAACAGTAGAAGAATGGGAAATCCTACCAGCATCTTCAAGAGATACTATAGCATTAACTACATACTGACTATCAGAAAATAAATTAAATACAGAATCTTTAAACATCAAAAAAGCTTGTAAAACTGCATTAAGCTCTACCTTTTGAGCTGATTGTTTGGGTACTAAAAATGTAAAAGTTCGATCTGGGGTAACTACTGCTGCTGTACCATTATTAGACCCATCAGTGAATATATTTGGAGCATTCATGATAGGTGTTTTTCTTGTCATTTTAGGAAAAACTACAGGATGCTTAGACCAAAAAGACAACAAAGGATTAGATGGTAAATGATTATCAAATGTAACATTAGATTTACACATGATTATTGCCCAAGTATTTAACTCATTAGCTAACTCATCAATTTGATCCATAGTATATGGAGTAATAATTTTATTGGGAGAAATTCCAAACACTCCCTTCGCTGCTTTTATTCCTTTGAGTATTAATTGTCCTACAGCCTCAGGATACCTAGTAAGAATAGTGTTAGGAGAATAAGATAGATGTATCCACAATACAATAAATAATAAAGGCAAACTTATATCAATTCTATCCAAATGTATATTTTTTCCATATATGTTTCAATAATTTTTAATGCCTTTCTTGCTTTAGGAGTTAACATGAGGGGTGAATTTGGATCTGATGGACCTTTTAGAATATCAAATAAAGGTCCCAACTCTCCTGTTGGTATGCCTAGATAAGGCCTTATCCAATTTATGTCTCCCAGTAACGTTTGAAAGTCGTTAAGTGATTTGAGTTGATCTACTCGTATTTGAATTTTTGGTGGACGGACCATGGTTGAGGATAATAGAACTCCTAAATAATTAATTGGAAAATTTAATTGTACTTTATCTATTGCTATCTCTAGATTATAATTTTTTTATAAGTTTGTAAGTGTGGCATAACATTCCAGCAATATGTTTTTATCTTTATGTGCCAATAATACATCATCCATATAGTGAAATATTTGTAGTTCAGGATTTTGATTTCTAAGTGGCTGGATTGCTTTGTTAACATATATTTGACACATAGTTGGACTGTTAGCCATCCCTTGAGGGAGTACTTTCCATTCATATCTCTGATCAGGACCTTCATGATTTAATGCAGGGATAGTAAATGCAAAACGTGGACTATCCTCGGGATGAATTGGAATTGAAAAAAAAACAATCTTTAGTATCTATAGCTAAAACATGCCAGGTTTTTGGCAAAGCAGACAATTGAGGAATCCCTGATTGAGCAGGTCCCATAATAACCATCTCATTATTAATGGCTCTTAAATCTTGCAATAATCTCCATTTACCAGATTTCTTTTTGATGACAAAAATGGGAGTATTATGGGGAGATATGGAAGGTTGTATATGTCCTTCTGCTAATTGTTGTTTGACCAGATCATGGGCTACTTGTATCTTTTCTTTAGTCAAGGGCCACTGAGGAACCCACACTGGTCTTTCTGATTTCCAAGTAATTTTGATTGTCTCAGTGGCCCTTTCTGAAAATCCAACCCATGTCTGTCTGTTCCTTGATCTATTTGTATTGGTGCTGCTATACCTTGCCCTTGTTTTCCTAATCTTTTTTCTTTCCTAAAGCCTTGTCTAGCCCTAATAGTGGGCACATTAGGATTGATGTTATTTGTTAACGTCAAACCTAATTGATCTAGGACATCTTGTCCCCATAAATTTATAGGAAGATGATCCAATACATATGGCTGTATAGTTCCTTCACATCCTTCAGGATCCTTCCAATCTAATATCATAGAACTTCTATGGGGATTCGTCGCCACTCCTAGGCCTCGAAGCGTTTGAGTGGCTTGTTGTAATGGCCAATGTTTTGGCCATTCTTGACGAGATATGATGCTAAGGTCAGCTCCTGTGTCCAGTAGTCCATTAAACTCATGACCTTGAATATTTAGTTTTAGCATTAGGCGAGAATCTAAATTTAAAGACAACATAGCCCAATCTACACCTGTGGAGCCTAATACCCTGGAACTTCTTTCTACACTATGACTAGGAAATTTATTATGTAGGCTGGGTATTATTAACAACTGTGCTATTCTATCTCCAGGTGAAATTACTGATATACCTCTTGGAGAACTAGCTATAATTTTTATTTCACCTACATAATCGGGATCAATTACCCCAGGACTTATCATAAGTCCTTTTAATGTAGATGAACTACGTCCCAATAATAAGCCTACTGTTCCTTGGGGAAGAGGTCCTTTTACTCCTGTGGGAATGATTTGAACTCCCATCTCTGGAGTTAATACTGCTCTGGCAGAGGTGCAGATGTCCAACCCTGCGCTCCCTCGGGTTTGTCTGATGAGGGATTTAATGGACAATGTGTCCTGGGCACTACCCTGATGGTGTTGCTGGGTTCCTCCACTGCCCCGTAGATTTGTGGTTGTGGGCCCCGGAGCATTGGGCCCCCCTGTACGTTTTTTGGCAATGGAGCCTGATGCCTTTCTCCACGATATCGTGGATAAATACCTGGTCTTTGTCCGTTTTTTGATAAGGGAGTACCCTCTATGGTGGTTTGAGAACGGCATTCATTAGCCCAATGTCTCCCTCTACGGCATCGTGGGCAAATACCCGGTATTGCCTGGGACAGCATTCCAGAACACCTGAATTTCTATGGCTGCTGTAACAAATGATCACAGATGTAGCTGCTTGGGATGTAGCCGATTTTCTCACAATGCTGCTGATCCTGAGTCCAGCAAGCTGGCTTGGTACACTGCCTAGGGTTTTGCAAAACCCACATCAAAATTTTGGCTGTTTTTTTGTTTTTGTTTTTGTTTTATTTCTTTCCCCTGATTGAACCCAGGGCCTCAGAAATGGTGGGCAAGTCCTTTACCACTGAACGATACCAACGGCCCCTTTTTTATTTTGGTGGGGGGCAAGGGAGTGGGGTGGGTGTAGAGTGGGGAAGTGTACTGGGGATTGAACCCAGGGCCTCGCATATGCTGGGCAAGCTACCACTGCACCTCACCGCCCCCCCCAGCTCTTTCCATTTACTTTAAGACAGTCTTACTAAGTTACCCAGGCTGTCCTGGGTCTCCTGATCCTCCTGCCTCAACGTCCCAGGTTGCAGGGATTACAGGCAAGTGCCACTTCATCTGGCTCCCCTGGGTTTTTATCAGGGCCTCTGGGGAAAATCCACTTCCAGGCTTATTCGTTTTATTGGTGATTTCCTTCTCCTGGTTCCTACTTAGCCCCTGCCATGGTAGTTAGCCCATAGTAGGTGGTGTTAGAGCAAAGGCGCTCTCATAGCCAGGAAGCAAAAGAGAAGGGTTGGGACAAAATATACCCTTCAAGGACACACCTCCAGTGACCTACTTCCTCAGGCTAGGCCCCACTCCCTGGAGTGTCCACCACCTCCCAATAACACCACCAGCTGGGCACCAAGCCTCTACCTATGAGCCCTTGGGGGACATCCCAGTTCCCAAACTGTAACACCATGTAATGAAACATACTCACAGGTTCCCAGGATTACTGCATAGCTATCTTTGGGAGAACCATTCTGCTGACCACACACGGTCATGATTTTATAAAATTGTAAGGATGATTTTTTTGTTTTCTTTTGTGAATGGTCCAACATTTTCTATTGTTGATATAAGACGTGTTTTTCAAGTGTTTTCAAGCTTTTCATTGTTGCTTTCTTTCTGAGTTCAAGAAGTGGCAACCAGCATTTTCATAAGGAATATAGACTTTAATCATATAGAAAATATCAGTGCATTTCACCATCTGATTTCTCATGAAACTGTGAAGTGTACACACTCGCATATGTCTTATTGCCATCTATCCTAGCTGGCGAACTAATACTGGGTTCACAAAATTTAACTATTCCAATAACTTAAGAAAATGGCAAAGAAATCACACAAACACACAGAAATACCTTTTCAAAATCTATGATGGCTCTCCAACCTTAAGGGTCCATGGAAGGAAAGAGGGAGACTGGAATTCTTTATTCTTATATAGGGGACCCACAAGGGGAAGTTCCATGGAACATTCTATCCCAAAAAGGGCAAAGGGGTAAGATTACAAAGGAACAGGTGAGTGTAACTCATCCCTAGCACATGAGGCCTACTCCTGGAGCCACGCCTTGCTATCCGAGCACTACCCTGCCAGACCGAAGGCAATGATTGTTCAGAACCCCGGTGCATCAGGACTTAAAGGTGCCTGCATCCAGGGCAGCTCCTGACAATATCTGAACTAGGTCAGAATGTAAAGTACACTTGGTACATACTCCTCCCTAAGTATTTCCACAGGATTGGTACCAGGACCCACAGTAGATACACAATTCAAGGAGGCTCAAGTTCCTTAGATAAAATGGTATATGTGATATTTGCATATAGCCTACGCACATCTTCCCATATACTTTAAATCATCTTTAAATTACTAACATGATGTAAGTGCTATATAAGTAGGCATTATATTATTTAGGGAATAATGACAGAAAAATAAATCTGTGCATGTTCATACAGATCCAACTTTTTTCCTTTGAATATTGTCGATCTGTGGTGGATTTAATCTGTGATAAGGATTTGGAGGGCTAACTGTACTTTAAAATTGTTAAAATTTAACTTTAAATTTTTAATTTTAAAATTAACTTTTTAATTTTTGAAGAGATGATTTAAAAAAAAAATCTGGAGCCTCCATCTGGGCCTGTTCCTGGTCCTGGGAAGATTTCTGGAGCACGGTGAAGAGCAGGCCCCAGGACAGGTAGGCCTTAGTGCAGGTGTGCGTTTGTGGATGCGCAGGTGCCTCCTGCTGCCTCTGACCTGCCACTCCAACGCCGCACCTGTGTTGCCTCTTTTTTCTCCCTTTTAGATATGTCTAGGAGTCAGTTTGGACAGGGGAAGAAACCTCTAGATATATTTTTCTGGGTAAATGAGATAACCGGAGAAATCACCTACCCCCCACAGAACCCTGACACACCTGCAGCTGCTGAGAAACAGGAGAGGACCGTCGCCCAGCACGGGGGCACTCAGGCAGCCGTTCAGAGGCCCCTGGGCCCAGCCACAGCGCAAAGGCCTGCCCCTCCGCCCACTCTTGATGCTCCACTGAAAGACCCGGACTCTACAAACTTCCTCCGATCTCCGCCAGCCTTCAGCCAGACTAAAGCTGGGACAAGGAGCCCCCCCGCCGTTTGCAGCAATCCCTGTCACCATCTCACCCCCAGGAGGGGCTCTGCCAGCACAGGGTCCCCTTGGACCAGCCCCTCTGCCCCTACCTGGCACATGCAATCCCTGTCATCATGTCACCCCCAGGGGGGACTCTGCTAGTCCGCCGCCCCGCCCCCTTGGACCAACTCCTCGGCTCCTACTGGCCAAATTTTCTCCCAGCCCTTCTCCCACCTTGGCCTTCACCGGCAAGCTGAAAAAATGTCCTTACTGGGAATAACCGATTTACCTTTTGAACCTTGAGAGCATTTGTCTGGCTACACCCTTTAAGTACCTTTCTGAGCATCAGAGCCAGAGTAACCACCTTCCTATACCTCACCTCGGTGAGGGCCCCATCTACCACTGCTCCAGAAGTACAGGAATCTCCCAGGGTTCTGAGCAATCTGCCACATGCTTTCAACTAAATATAAAATTTGACTTAGATCTTGACATACAATGTCTTCTGGAACTTTCTTTAGTTCCTGAGCTGTCTTGGTATTTTACTCTGAACTCTTTGCAGTTCAGTAGTTCAGTTCTGACGTTGGAGTCAAAGCCATGTGTTTAGTTTCCATCCAGGGTCAGAAGGAGACCCTCTTGATGAGGACGGGAACAGATCTGGATAAGTGGAACCCACAGGCCTACTGTCCCTGGGGCACTCGGGACAGAAGGGGGCTAGAGCCCTGTTGCTCTCAGGTCAGCTTTTTCTCAGCTCCATTCATCGGCTCATGGGAAACGCTCCCTCCTGCTCCGCTCCTCAAGCTCAGAGCCTAGGACAAGTTTCCAGGTCAGAATTCCAGGCAGGACTGCCAGAGTTCATGTGGACAGACTCGGTGAGGGTCTAGGGGGGGCATGGGCAAGCCACATGGGTCCTGTGTACTCATACATCAGGGAGGAAGACATCCTGGTGAGCAGGAACAGCCTTAGGAAAAAATATGGAGATGGAAGGTAAACTGGGTCCTGGAGCAGGTTGGGGCACAGCTGGGGAGGAGGTAAGGCTGGGAGGGGAGGACTTTGAGAGAACCATCAGGGAGATGCAATAGCTCCTTTAATCCCGAGGACCACAGAGGGCCTTGGGGTAGGGAGCGTGGCTCTGAGGGGAGTGAAGGGCAGGCAGGTGGGTGTTGTTATTCAGGTGGGGCCAGGGATGAACGCAGAAGGTGGCCGTGGAGGGGCATGAGGCCTGTGGGGACCACTAAGGGCTGCAGATGCACCCTCAGCTTGGAACTGCATCTTCTTCTCCAGGCAGTAACTTTGGTGGGGCAGGAGATCTTATATCCTTTATGCACCACTCTCCACGTTGGGGATCCCGGCTACACAGGACCACCCCTGTGACCCTTCACCAGTGCAGCTTCCAATACCTGTTGGCCGGAGTCCAGCGCCTGGCCCAGAGGAAGCATGGAAAACCCTCAGCCAAGGATTTCAAGGCCTTCTGAGTACATGACTCCCCCAGGAAGGTGTGCCCTCTTTCCTATTCCTGCCTATAACAGGGCAGGACGCTGCCATGTGTCCCTTGGGCCTGTGCATCCCTAAGGGTGACCTGCATGAGTAGAGGTTCTAGGGTTAGAGGAAGGGAAACTTTGAACCTAGGTTTTTTGGATACTGGTTTTGTGGATGTGGGCAGGTAGACCTCAGGAGCCTTTCACCTTCTGTTGGAAAAACTGAGACTGTATGTTGATTGAACACCTGTTAATATGTAGGAAACGTAAGGTCAGAGACACCTGGTGCCCTCAGCTGGATGGCTGTGGAAGTCTATAGTAGTCTATTTGCTTCCCAATGATGGGCTTACCATATCCTGACACTGGCAAGGCCTCTGATGGCTAGAGAGTTCTTCCTTCTGTCTCACCATTACCTCACCTCCTTTGACTTAATGCCAATCCCAGGATAGCTAACTGGTTAATCAGCCAGGCAAAGAACATGCTAACCTCAGGCTGTGAGCGGGGGAATGGTCCCGTGGTTACCCACATTCTCTGCTGCATCTATTCCCCTCACCTGAGGAAGTATTTTTGGTCAGAACAGAAGGTGACATTGAGGGTGATAACCCAGAACAGGGGGCCCCAGTGAGCTCCAGACCTGGTTGGCTGGCCTTGCAGATGGAGGCAGTGGGGAGGGGTCTGGGTTGGCTCCTGGGAACTATGACCCCCTGGCGCAGTTCATTTATAATCCTGATGTGGCCCAGTACCCATGGTACTTGCTGGTCTGGTACAAAGGCTTCTCTGCTTGGTGTCTATGAACATGTGGCTACAGATGTTCCTGAACCAGCTTTACCTCTCTCCTGTGGTGAGAAGTGTGACCTTTCTGCTGAGGGCCATGGGGGGTTATACCCAGCCACAGTGAGCAGAGCATCAGTCAATAGAGTTCTGGGGTCTTCAGGTCTGGGTTTGAAGCCCAGCCCCTTCACTTCCTAGCAAGCTAAGCAACACCTACCTACAAAATGGGGGTGAGAAAGGGGGCCTGCTCCAGGTCACCAGGGAGGTTGCAGCAAACACTCTCTGGGGTGTGATGAACACAATGGAAGCCCAGCCCTGGCTGAGGAGGGAGGTAGATTCTGAGAGCTGGGGGATTGTTCCATACAGTCCTTCTGCGCTGCGATACCTGTATAAGAGGGCCTGCCACTCCCCGCTAGCTCAGCTGCTGAGACTCACAGGCTCAGTGTGGGGATAGGCAAGATGCTTCCTGGAGGCGCCTTGAGTCCAGCCCTCAAATCCCCCTGGCTGTCCTTCTGCCAGAGAGCTGTTCAGGTGGAGGGTTAGGGTCCTGTTCTGACCCTTACAGATACGGGCTCCCAGCCTGTGTGCCACTTCATGACCCAAGGAGACTATAGGATGGGGACAGTTCCTCCCTGGACCCAGTCTGTGCTATCACCTGCTATAGACCCACAAAGGACGAGGAGCCAGCTTATCTTCCTGGACTCATCTTGGATTTTGGCTGGTGGAGACCAGGGGCCTAGTAAGACACAGTCTCCGCATATGATATGGGCTTTTCTTCTAGATTCCACGTGGTAGGGGTTGGGGGCTGGCCAAATAGGCTGCACCTGGGCTGAGAGGAGGCCCGTGTGCTGTCTCTCACTGGGATACACAACCAGAACAGGCCACTGCAGGGACAGTGGGCCAATGCAGTGAATGGGCAGGACCTGGTTCCTATAAGCCCATGGGCTCCATGCTCCTCACCTGTACACTAGGGATGCCCCCCTTTATGCAGCCTGGGACCTTAAGCATGCCTCTGTGCCTGCTCATCCCTAGGTCTGTCCACTAGACCACAATACCACAGCAGTTCTTCCCTCCAGAACACATCCGGGCTACCCTAGGTGGAGACAAGTCAGTCACAAAGCCCATGCACCTTGCTTTGAGAAAGGGGTGGGCTGCTAATATCAGGTCATCAGGAGCAAGGCTGCTATATCTTGGTGTCAAGGATGTAGATATTCAATAAGATTTGTTTTGTTTTTGATAAATGCGTAATATGCTAGCAAGGCTCAGGGGCCAGGCCACAGGAATGGGGACACCGATAAGTCAGTATTATCCATCTGGGGCCAATTGGTACTGAGCCAGGGCTTGCTGCCCCATGTCCATATAAGCCAAATACTGTGGCATGCTGACTTTTGCAAAAAGAAAACATTTTATTGGAGGTTAACTGATAAGGAGACAGGAGGCATGCTCAAATCCATCTCCCATTGGCCATTGAAGAGGGGTTTTGAGGACTTTTTGAAGTTGAAGGGACTGGTGATATCTTGGGTCTTGATTGGATGCTTCTGTGTCTTTCAAAATGTTGATGAAAAATATAAATTCTGCTTTCTTTTTTTATATTTATTTTTTTAGTTTTCAGTGGGCACAACATCTTTTTATTTTTACGTGGCGCTGAGGAGCGAACCCAGCGCCCTGCACATGCCAGGCAAGTGCGCTACCACTTGAGCCACATCCCCAGCCCCATAAATTCTGCTTTCAAGGAAAAAAGAAATAGTTTATTATGAGCCAAATGTGAGTGCCTAAAGCCCAAGAACAGATTCAAGTTACTCTGAATGATGGGCTCCGAAGAGGAAGAGGTTACATCAACTTTTATAGTCAAAGAACAAAAAAGTTATCAACATCCAACAAATTCATTGGTGGCTGTGTTAGGTAGGCAGCTATAGCGAGGCAGGGAAATCTTTTCTATAGGGTTCAGACATCAACTTACAGCATTGTTACCTTTTGGGGTTGGTGGAGGCTAATGGTGTCCTTTTCATGGGACCAAATAACAAACATTAACTAAGCTTAATAATACCTTTGGAGATATTTATCTGTTGGTCATAAACCAGACACAAAGGTTAAAAGCAAATGGATATTTTCCTAAAGTGACTATGACAGTCCAAGATAATTTTGGCTCTATTTTTGGGGGTGATAGTGGTGGTGGTGGTAGTACTGGGGATTGAACCCAGGGGCACTTAACTGCTGAGCCACATACCCAGCCCTTTTTATTTTTTATTTTGAGACAGGGTCTTGCTAAGCTGCTTAGGCCTCAAAGTTGAGATCCTCCTGCCTCTGACTCCTGAGTCGTTGGGGTTACAGGCATATGCCACCATGCCTGGTGATAATTTGGGTTCTAGACATGCACCATTCCATCTCTCCACAATCTCAATGTTCTACTCAGCTGAGATCAAACAGCCTGCAAGACTTTGAATATGGAGGCAGCTTTTTAGAGAACTTTAGCTTTACTAAGCTTTTTGCTATTTGAGTCTTATGTTATAATTTCATGATTAGTATCCCTGCCCTTGATTGCAATTCATGTAGCTCCCATTCCTGAATCTAAGACTTTTAAGTTCTGTCCAGTTTGGGGTCATTCTTAGGTTAGATTTTAAGGCACTTCACAGGACCCCATGTTATGCAAAATATATAAAAGTTAGAAAAGAGGAAGTTACTTAAAAATGTCTAATAGGCAAAGATCTGAGCCTCATAATGATTTGAACATTTTAAAGGGAGGGAGGAATATGGGGCTCAGTAGAGTCAGAGAAGGTTTCCACAGCTGCCACCACACAGTGCCACACGGGTGCACTGACCAGGCGTGCTAGAGGGTACCGCTCCTCCCGCAGAGAAGAGGAGCAGGTACTGTGATGACAGGCAGACATTAGAGTGATTGGGCTACAAGTCAAGGAGTGCCCACAGCCAACAGAGATTGGGAGAGGCAAATGAAGGACTCTTTCTGGGACAGCAGTCCTTTCAACACCTGATTCCTGCTGTATAAGCCAGCTAGTTTGTAATTTATTCCAGCTACTAATGCACCAAGAAAAAGCTAAATGATGCTCAGTCTTCCAGTGTCAGCTCCTCACAACAGCTTTCTGATTGGTCCCTGCCATGTCACCAGTGCCTAGGATCTCCCTGTTAGGAATCTAGGAGGAAAGAAAAAGATTAATGATTTTACTTCCAAATTTAAAAATCCTGAGTTCTGGAGTGAAAATAAAAGTGAGGCACTAGGGTTGTTCTCTATTCCTGTGGTCACACTGTTCTTCCTAAGGCCTAGCTGCTTGTCCTGCTGACCTCCAAGTCTCTGGCTCGTGCACACAGATACCAGGTCTAGGCCAGTGCCCGTGGTAGCGATAAAAGAGAAAATGCAAAATTCTCTACGTCTTGAAGATTGGATGGTGAAAATCTGATGGCCCCTCCAGCTTGCACCACATCTCGTACTGAGCAGCACACCCCATGCCCTGGTTGGAACAAGGGCAGAATGAAAAGGTGAGGGACAAGGGTGCTGCCCAGCTTCTCTTGGAGCCGGAGGGTGCAGAACTGATGGGCTCCAGATCAAACACCTGGTGGGGCAGGCTTGCCCAGAGCTGGGGTGTTACTCTTGCTCAAATCCCTCCCTGGCCACAGGACACCTGGGCTCCAATGCCAACTCTGCCTGCTGCAGTCTGAAGGGTTTGGACAAGCCTTTTCCTTATTTTGGGTTTTAGTTTTTCCACTTGTTAACCTCTGTCAGCTCTGGGGGAAAATCCCTAAAATGCTCCATTGTAGGAAGCTCACCGCGGGGCAAGGATTTTGAGTGGCCAATGGAAACAGGCTGTGGCTGCAGAGGCTTCAGGGGAGGAAGAGGGGGCACTCTACTGAACTGTCTCACCTGTCCAGAGCACTGGCTGTTCCACCTCCTTCTCTGTTCTCACAATTGCTAAGAGGGAGGGATCCATGGGACCAAGGACCACCCATGGCAGGATTCTGGCTTCCGGGGATAGACTTGCTCAGGGTGGACAGAACCTCCAAGAACATGCTCTGCCTCTCCTTTTATAGATGGCCAAGAGTAGCGGGACTTTGCCAAGGCCACCTAGCATGTGGAGCCACTAGGACTAGCACTTTGGGTCTCCTAGGGTTGAGCCATGGAATGGTCACCTGCAGTGACCAACTGTGTCAGAGGGGACCAGGTTGGGATCTGCATTGCATCTGATGTTAGGTGACATAGGTAAGAGGGTGGTCTTGGAATAGGCCAAGCTTTGGATGGTCAGCTAATCCTCCCTGATACATCTTTGGCACCCCTGGCCTGTGGGTGGGAGGTTTCCATGGTCCACAGAGGAGACTTGAGGTCCCATCAGTCTCTACTGGACTGATTTGATCTGTTGATTTGCTCAAGGGGAGCCTAGCCAGAACTGCCCGGGGCAGCTGGGGGTGAAGTGGCAGCCTCCATGACACAGGCAGTTAGTATGGAAGAAGTGGGGGCACTGCAGCGACCTGAGCTGGATGGGTTTACCCCAAGGACACTAATCTTTAGAAATTTCAAAGGTGAGCTGGCCCTGAAACTTCTTATCTTGCCCACTCAACAAAGCCTGCCACCCTCTTAGTAGCTCAAGGAGGCTGCCTGGAGGTAGCTGCGTTTGTCGGAGGGAGGAGGAGGAGGAAGATTCCTGGAGATGCTGTTTGGGCAGCAGGCCAGAGGGTGCAGCTCCCCTGGAGGGCAGGACCCAGCTCTCCCTCAGGACAGCCTGAGCTGTGATCTGGAGCGAGGTCCTGCTGGAGATCATTTCTCCCTCGAGGCTTTATAAAGACAGAGGCTGGGTGCCCCTTCTCAGTGGTCAGACAGTTTTCCCTTTGGTGTTAGGTCACCAATTTCTTACACTGCCAGAATTGTAAAACTACTAATTGGACAGTATTGAAACTACTAGTAATTGAAAAATCAGCTCTCTGGTTGATGTAGGTATTGTTTATTATGTAATAATGAGTTCTGAGACAAAATCCAATTCAAAACATTAGTATTGAAGATTCTATATTAGTTAATTTTAGCAATGGCACAATTGAAACCTAATTTTCCAATAAATCTTATATAATCTTTGAGGAATTTTTCACTCCCATTATTTGGCTCTGGAAAATGTTTACAGGCAACACCACTTATTTTACTAGAAAACAAAATCTGAATATAAGTTGTCAGGCACAAGTTAAAAGGGATGATATGCACAAATGAATAATTACAAACCAACACTTCTTTTGAACACATATTTGCAATGTGAAGCTGCTTCCATATTTGATGTTTTATGTAAATTTAAAACATACTTCAAGAACTGATTTTAACATCTTTTTGTTCTAATGCACGATGGAAAATAATTCTTCTGATTTCTACAGCAGAAGAGTCATAAAAATGGTCATAAATCCCCAATCAGGATTCACCTTGTTCTCTTGAGAAATGAACTGAGAGGTTTTGGATCTGGTTAAGGAATCTCAGGAGAAATCTGCAGAGAGAGGGGTACAGAATCTAGAACTGGTCTCTTTGCTGAAGACATCATAACTCATACCTCTTTGGGATTAAGCTATATTTCTAAGAATGAGAGGTGACTCAGAGAGGCTTTAACCCGGCCAGAGCTAAAGAGGGGATTTCCAACACCTGCAGGAACAGGAAGGTGGGCTTGAGAGAAAACCTGGAAGGTCTGAACTACTTTATACTTGACACTGCTTCTTTGAACCCTCTGGGAAGCTGGCAAGGATTTTCCTGGATAGTCTTTGCCCAGGAAATTTTTAAATCATTCAAAAATATCGTTTTTTGGTTTCATGTTACCAAGAGTTACAATATTTTATTCATTTCATTTTTTCTGGGGATTGGACCTAGGGACTCATGCATGCTAAGCACATTCTCTCTTGCTGAGCTATATAATCCCAGCTCCAATGTTTATGACATTTTAATGAGTAGGATAAATTTAGGTTACAACTAAACTCTGTCAATGAAAATTTTTAATAAACTGATATCAGACTCTTAAGAACAATGTCAATACTATGTATTTTGTTTTTTTCCCTTCTATTCTTTATTTTAGGCAAAATTTGGTTATCCAATTTTTGCTACCTACCAGTCATCTATTTTGGATAGCAACCGGCTGTTACTGGAAAATACGTGTGTATATATCCATGAGATGAACTATGAGGATGAGTGTTGGGCTAATGTAATGGTTTCAATACTTCAGAGATGTACTGGGTATGAGACCTGTTTATACTTACATACATACTTGTTCAGCCCCAAACCAATATTCACTCATATAAAAATATATGACTCAGAGAATCCTTCATTATATATCACTAAAAATATTTTCTTTCACTCTAATATCATTTTACCTAGTCTTGTCAATCAACATCATAGAATGGGGGACAAAATCTTTTAAAAACAGGTTTCCTTGAAGAAATTAATTAAAAAATTAAAAAAAAATTTTTTAGTTGTTGATGGACTTTATTGTCTTTATTTTTATGTGGTGCTGAGGATCGAACCCAGTGCCTCATGCATGCTAAGTGAGCATGCTACCACTGAGCCACAACCCCAGCCCTGAAGAAATTAATTTTTAAAAGTGTACTTTTAAAGCAGCAGTTAGGAACTTTGTTCTTGTAATACATAAGTGATAGTGTCATATCAAACTATGGATTTAAATTAAGTTTAACAGTTTCTTATCTCTTTAAAAAAATATTGCTGTTACTTTATGGCTTCTCCATTCTTCCAATTCCAAGGAATACAAAGGTCTCCATCTTGCATAACAGAGTAAAAATGTGAAACGCAGAGGTGCATCCCATGTAGATAAGGCAGTGACTGTTCTAGAAGTCTCTTACAACAATCCACCATTTGTATACTAGAAATGCTGGGCTCCTTATATAACTTCTCCAGAGAAAATTTCTTTGTTGAAGCCTGTATCAATTCATTTTCAATAACCTTTAACCTATTATATTGAAAATAAAAGTAATAAGACCATAAGTTATAATTACATAAAAGAACATAAAATGTAAATATATTCTTATATATTGGGGCTGTAACTTTCTACTCAACACTGAAAATGACATCCATAAATGTCAAATTATATATTTAGAAGATATGACAACAGTTATCATGTGGCACTCATTATTTCCACAGGTATCTCTCAAAATATTTGTTTCATCTTTTTAGCAGTAATGGGGTAAAATTAATGCATAATTTAAAGAGGTCTTATTCTTCCTCACCTAGTGGCTGCTAGTGACTGAAGAAAGTAGAAAGTGAAGAATATAAAATCCCTAACTTTAGGAGCCACTGGCCAGCTCACAACAAAATCAATAGTCCAAGGACAGGCACTCTTCATTCTCCTCCCACCTCCCTCAGCCCCTCTTCCAGCCCTTTTGGTTCCCTCCCCTTTGTCAGAGCCCCCTTCTGGCTCTGTCGGGGCTTCAGGTAAAGCCTAGGAAGGAAACAACTCCAGAGCAGAACTGGCATCCTTTCCTACAGGTGGCAGACACGTAGGGACCTGGTGCTCATGTGGGCTGCACCCTCCACGCTGGGGGGCTGAGACCTCCACCTTGCTACACCATTCGGGCTACACCTAGACTGATACATGTGTCACTTGGGAAGCCCACCTGACAAGGTATGGCAGACCTTAGGAAAGGCCTCCCAAGAAAGTGAATGTGAGCAGGGGCAGAGGGAGGCTAAGACTCCTGGGAATGGCCAAGGGCCAGGGAGGGAAGCGCCTGGGGAGCCGGGGAAGGCGAGGGAAGAAGACCGGGCTAATGAGGCTAGGGCTGATGAGAAATTAGTGAGGCAGAGTCCTAGGAGCTGAGCTTGGCTGCAGGCACCAGCCCAGGAAGACTGTTCCCCTGGTTCACTTAGAGGATAAGAATGGACTGGGGTGGGGGAGGAAAATGTGGAAGCTTGATGACTGGGTAGGAGGTCACCACACAATAATGCAGCCCTGGTCCAGGTGTGGGATGAAGGACTGAGACTTGGTAGGAATCCGGATATACTCTGAAGTGGGGCTGGGAAGTTGGGGATGGGGAGGAATCTCGAGGACTCCCAGGCTTTCATTTGCCTGAGCAACTGGCAGTTCAGGAGCAAACACAAAGATGGGTGGTTGGGGAAGGCTGGCTAGAACTGCTTCCCAGCGTTGAGCAGAGGGGAAGTTCAGCAGAGCAGTACCACAAACACAAACGCTCGACACTACTTGGGAAGCAGGATATTCATGTAAGATCTGAGTGAGTTGTCACCAATCCCACAAACAAAACAGAGATGCAGTTTCTTCATTTATTTTATTCATAAAATGAGTCCCTTATCTCCTGTTAAAGGGACAGTTTCATGTTCTTAGCTGCCATCCTTTCTCTTTATCTCATGAGCCTAGCTTTGGACAGAGGCATCCTGTGGGGACTGAGTGTGTGAAGGCTTCTCCCCCGCCCGTCAGCTAACCACCACTGCTCCTCTCCCTGCCAGGCTCCATATCTCTGTCCTCCTGGTCTCTCCTGGAGCCGTCCCTCCCAAACATGTGCACAGTTGGCCTCCTCAGTCTCCTGCCTGCTCTCTGCCCTGGACTTCCCTTTATCCTCATCTGCTAGAGCCTTAGCTTTGGCTCTTCCTGCTCAGCTCAACCCTGTGGTCTGGCTCCCACTGCCATATTTCAGCTGTTAAATCTCCTGCAGAAAATGAATTCTGGGAGGACAAAGGACAGGTCTTCATCTGACCATGGCACCTGTCAGTTCCAGGCACACAACAGTCACAATAAATGATGGCTGAATGATTGAATGAATAAAATGCTTGGCAAACTTCCTCGGGGAGCACTTTAAAACAACTGTCTTTTGAACGTCAGACCCTCCTTTCTTCACAGCAGACACATAACACATTACTGGGCAATATCATACCACTCAATTAGGAAACTCCTGGCTATAGAAAAAGGCCTGCTTATGAACTAGAACAATTTTTATTGTAAAATTTCTTCTGACTGTAACTAAAATGCAGATAAAGTTCTCTTTATATCAGGTAGTTTAAAAAATTTTGAACAATAAAGATTCCTGTTAAGTAATGGCTACTTTCTCCCTTTGTTGCCACCCTTTTTCCCTCTGTAGAATCTCTATTTGATATTCTTGTTATTCTGTTGCTGGCTTTAAACTTTTTTTTTGGCACTGGGGATTGAACCTAGGGGTGCTTTACCACTGAGCTATATCCTCAGCCCTTTTTAAAAAAATTTATTTTGAGTTTAGGGTCTTGTACTTTTGATCTTCCTGCCTCACCCTCATGAGCCACTGGGATTACAGGTGTAACCCTACTTCTCAAAATGTATTATATAATTTAGGTTACTATGCTTATAAAACAGTCCACATCCAATATCTTGCAGGTGTGTGTGGAATAAAAAATATGGAATACCCACAGATTAGTTAATTTCTGATGTTCAATTCTGTTTTTTTTTATTTAGTGTTGGGGATTGAACACAGGGCCTCACACACACTAGGCAAGTGCTCTACTACTGAGCCCAGGCCCTTAGTACAGTTCTAATGTTCCATATTTGTGAATTCCAAACATCTGATTCTTTAAAAGTTAGATGGAACTCCATGACTTCACAGACAGCTAGTAGTACTTACTCCTCCTTTCTTTTCATGTTCTCTCTTGCCTGCTGCACTCTGGTGTGAATAAACCACTGGAGATTTGCTGGATCACAGAGTACTGGGATGTTAAAATGGCCGAGTTCATGCAAACTTGGAGCATATCTGTCACTGCAATGAAACATATATATAGGGAAAATCACAGACTCTTCCACCCCCTGCCAAGAACTGAAAAGGAATCATCAAGAAAATCCACCTTAAAAACAAAAAACACGGACTTAAACCTCCAATGACTAATCATGTACTACTGAGCCCTGGGTCTGTCCTCTGTAAAACAGCAGTAGCAACTGCCTCATGGTGAGAGTGCAAGATGGAGAAAGAATGCATTTAAGTATACAATGCAGGGCAGGCAGAGCACATGTGCAGTGTGGGCTACTGATTTAATCCTATGAAGTTTGACTGTCCCCAGCATGAGGCAATATATTCAAAGAATGTCCTAGAGATCCAAATACTTCAATACTCTCACATTGGCTTGTGTCGTGTGCAGAAGAGGGTTGCTAACATAGTAGTGACATTCTTTTCTTTAATTACTAAGATCCACACCCTGAAATACAAAATAATCTAAAGTCTTTATATACACAATCCACCTAAAAAAATCAATCATTTGGCCTGGTTCAGGAATTTACCTGTTCAGGATCATTTGTAAGCCACGGAGACTCCGAGGGTGGAAAGGTGCTCGGCTTTTCAACAGTCTACTATAGAACACGTTGAGAAGGGAGTAATATTCTTCAAGTGTCAACACTGGTTGTAATTCTTCGATATAAATGACCTGTATGCCACCTAGCAGACAGCTGATTTGATCTTCTAAAAACATCAGCTTCCTCTGTAGGTCAAAATAACTTGGCAACCTTTCAAAAAGCTATAGGATTAAGGAAAAGGAAAGATATATTTAGTTTTATGTTACCATAATAACTCGACCTCAGCATCCCAAAAAATGGCATTGAGAATGTTTAAGAAGAAAATTATTTTTCTAAAAAAGAAAAGTCAAGTAGAAGAAAAAAATTTAACGGAATTCTGGATATATTTATATTAAAAACAAGTAAGTAAGTCTAGAGATTTTAGATCGGAGTTGAAGAGAATGCAGGAAAAAAAAAATAAAAGAAATAAGTTCCAAATAAAAACATTCTTGGTAGGAATCTTAAACTAGTTTAGGTGACTAAAGAAGACTTTTAGAAATAAAGTATATGTATGTATTTCAACTCCACATCTCTTTCTTTAAAGTTTACTCTTAACTAAATTAAATTAAAAGCAATAAATATTATTGAACATCTACTGTGTTAAGTAGTGGAATGGGCACTTTCAGCATATGATTATGAGTTTGCTCCTTTGCCAGGGCCTCAAAATTGGGGTGCAAGGAAACAAAAGAAAGATTCAAATTTAGTGAACTAAGTGCCACATCAGGGCATGCTGATAGGCATTCAAGCATTGGTTTCCAAGGAAGTCTAATTTGACCAATCTTAAAAGGTAAATCGGATTTAGGAAAAGTGGATGAATGTGGTTTTTCTGTGAACATAGTTTTTCCTTTCTCTCATATAATTGCCCAAGAGTATAATTACCAGGTCAAATGCTGAGCACATTTACTTTCATAAGAAAATGCCATGTCCTTTTCCCAGAGTGCCTGTATCATTTTGCATTCCCAACAGCAGGGCTAAATGATCCAGGTTTCTACATCTTCACTAGCATTTGGTGGTGATGCTATTTTTCATTTTGGCCACTCTAGTATGCAGTAATATCTCACTGCAGTTTTTGTTTTGCTTTTTTGTGGTGCTGGGGACTGAACCCAGACCCTCCCACATGCTGGCAAGTGCTCTAGCACTGCACTGAGCTGCATCCTCATCCTCACTGTAAGTTTTTTTTAAAATGTATATATATTTAATGTATTTTTTTTAGTTGTAGGAGGACACAATACCTTTATTTTTACGTGGTGATGAGGATGGAACCCAGTGCCTCACTCATGCTAGGTGAGTGCTCTACCACTGAGCCACAACCCCAGCCCCCCATCACTGTAAGTTTTGATCGCATTTCCCTAACGGCTAACAATGAACATCTTCTTATGTGCTTGTCATCTGTATATCCTCTTTGGTCTTTTCATTTCCTTAGTAAAAACAAGCTGTTTTTTGTTTTTACTGCTGGGTGTTGAAAGTTCTTTATGTATTTTAGATACAAAGTTTTATCAGATATGTAGTTTGAACAGCTGCTTGGGCAAAAAACATATGCAGATGGCAAATAAACACATGAAAAATGCTCACCATCACTTGTCATTAGAGAAAGGCAAATCAAATTCATAAGTAGAATCACATTCCATTAGAATATTTAAATTCAAAATTTAAAATAAAATGAAAAAGATGAATATCTTTAGGCATTTTATTAAAAAATTAAAGTACCTAATGAGATGATCCAGCCATTCCATTCTAGGTATTTACCCAAGAGAAAAAAAAAAATATATATCCTCATATTTGGACACTATGCTTATAATAGTTTTATTTGTAAAATCCCAAACAGACCAAACCCAAAGTCTAGCAACAGGTGAATGGATTCACAAATAGTGATTCAGTTACAGTATGGCACAGTACACAGAAATGAAAAACAGTAGCTCTAAATATTTGTGACAATATGGGAAGAATCTCAAAATAAGTAAGCAAAGGAAACCAGAGGAAAAAGTACTCTACACTTATATAAACTCTAGGAGAGAAGGCAGCTCAATGGTTGAATGGGGAGGCAGTGGTGGGATGGAGGGGAGGGTTTACAGAGGGCCACAAACATCCTTTGCAGGTAATGGATGCACTGGCCATCTTGTTTGTGGTGTTGGTCTCATATATACCTGTCAAACTTGCCCACTTATATACTTTATTTTTTTAATTTTTAATATTTATTTTTAGTTGTAGTTGGACACAATACCTTTATTTCACTTATTTATTTTTATGTGGTGCTGAGGATTGAACCCAGGTTCTTGTGCATGCAAGGTGAGCACTCTACCACTGAGCTACAACCCCAGCCCCACTTACATACTTTAAATGTGTAATTTACTGAATGTCAGTTATACCTCAATAAATCTGTTAAAAACAAACAAAATAAAACAACAGAATGTAGGCTTGTGGGCTGGGCTTCAGAAAAGACCACTTAATATTACCAGACACAAACTACCTTGAAAATCAGAAAATCCTCCTAAGTATGTGAACTACAGAATACTGAACATCTCATTGGAAAATAGCTAGTGCCATGGTTTAAGGTTTTGTTAGTTCAGAGCAGAGGTGTGCACCTGTAGTCCCAGCTACCTGGGAGACCAAGGTGGGAGGATCACCTGTGCCCAGGAGATCAAGACCACCCTGGGCAACACAATGAAACCTGTTTCAAAAACAAAGACAAAACAAATAAAATTCTGTTAATGCATGTAACAGTACTGCTTGAATCGCAAGTACAGGAATGACAACCCAATGATGATTTTTTACTTTTCAGCTCTTTCTTACTTTTGTCCAATGGTGATGGACATCCATGGTTCCCAGCATCACATGGCCCACTGCACTCATGCCAGAACGGTCTGTAAATATGACTGTACATCCTGATGAAAAAACACAAACCTTTTGGTAATGGTCTAGAGATGCTTCATTCTTTTAGCACTATGCAAATCATTACTTAAATTTAGTTGTAAACTTGGGGTAAAATTCAGGAACAGCCTAAAGACTAATTTTAGGTCTCTGCTTTATTCAAAGGATCAGATATTCAGATATTAAAATTCAGCTCTGATAAAGTCACTTAGTTTCCACTATAATCTACAAATGTGTATAGCAGCTAAGCTATACTATAAAAGAAAGTAGAAAATGTTTACCTTTTGCTTTCTGCAGTGTTTCCAAGTTCTGCTGAGCTAGGCGGCCTAAACTATGCAGCTGGCTGCAGCGGTGGGCAATGCCCCAGCTCCTCTGCCACCTAGGCCAACAGGGACACAGGTGCATTAGCAGCTGGAACCCCTGAGGGGAGCAAACTCTCACCCCAAATGACTCATTCCTGAGAAAGCTCATGAATTTCTTTCTGAAGTAGGGATAAAGTTATAATTGACCTCACATTTCCAAATGAGATGATCTTTAAAGAAGCGATCAAATGGAAAATGAATTGTTTGCCAGAAGGTAAAAATATTACAACCATTTTCAGGTATCCACAAATTTAAAATAAGCAAATGCACTATGTTGTTTCTATATTAAAATAACATGGTGGGGCTGAGGGCAGAGCTCTGTGATAGAGCATGTACTCAATGTGTGCAAGTTAAGAAAAAATGTCTATGTTACTAGACTGCTATAGTTTTGAACTTAAATGTCCCCAAAAGGCCCATGTGTTAAAAGCTTAGTCCTCAGCTGTGGCACTATTGGGAGGTGGTAGAATCTTTTTTTTTTTTTTTTGTACCAGGGATTGAACCCAGGGGTGCTTAACCACTGAGCCATATCCCCAGTCCTTTTGATATTTTACTTTGAGACAGGGTCTCACTAAGTTGCTAAGGGCCTCACTAAGTTGCTGAAGCTGGTCTTAAACTTGCAATCCTTCTGCCTCAGCCTCCCAAATTGCTGGGATCATAGGCATGTGTACTATGCCCGGCAGGTGTTGGAATCTTTAAGAAGTGGGGCCGAGTGGGAGGTCTTCAGGTCTCTGAGGCCACTAAGATGGACAGTGGAACCTGCTCCTGCATCTTCCTTTCTTTTTTGGCTTCTTGGCCATGAAGCGAGAACTTCTGCTCTGCTATACACTCCCCATCATGGTGTGCTGCTTTGCCACAGGTCAAAAAGCAACAGACCAACCAATCATGGACTGGAAACTTCAAAACTGTGAGTGAAAACAACCCTTTTCTCTATGTAAACTGATTTATCTCAGTTCAATCCCTGGTTCAAAACTATAGCAGTCTAGTAACATAGACATTTTTTCTTAACTTGCACACAGAAAACTAACACACAGAATATGGAGTTAGAACAATCCTCATATCAGGATGGATTGATAAAAGAGCAGCTATAAGCACACACTCAAACATCCCACATGCTTTGCTTTGAATTTTCTTATAAGCTACAAAAAAAGGTAACATTATGGTACCCAAATAGTCACTGGATTCAATAAAAGACAAAAATACTGAAGATGAGGGTTGAAAACAATAAACTGTTTGAGCATGAGAGTGACACTTCCAGGGCTCTAGTAACGGAAGTCCCAGGACAAAATCATCTGGCCCCTTCCTTACTAAGAGCTGTTAAGTCTGGTTTCATAATAAATTTCTACTATATATAATTTCCAAGTTTATGAAAACTTAAATAGTTGTGCTATATATGACATGAAATTAAGAATACAACATCCACTTCCTCTTTTTTTAAAAACATTTATTTTATAGTTGTAGGTGGATATAATACCCTTATTTTATTTTTATGTGGTGCTGAGGATCTAACCCAGTGCCTCACACATGCTAGGCAAGTGCTCTTCCTCTGAGCCACAACCCCAGCCCCATCACTTCCTCTTTTGCCCATTTTTTAAAGTCTCAAATACCAATTATACATGATAAAAATTACACGTGTGTATATATATATATTTTTTATTATATATTACACGTATATGGAAAAGGGCATTTTTTTCACAAATTCATCATGTAAAAAACTTAAAGCATTATTCTAAACATGTCAGAAATTAAGCAATACTTTAAGAAATTAATAATAGTTTTCTTATATACATGAATAATTGATTATGTTCATAAGAAGTCAACTGAAGAATACTTAATTATCAGAATAATTAAAGTTAAAGATGCAAATTTTAGCAGCTGGGAAGTCTTACTAGTAGGTGATTTGTGTGTATTTTAACCTCTAAATTAGGTTCTCTTTTTTATTACCTAATATCTGAGAGTTGTAAGAGATGGGACAGCTCCTCTTTTAAACGATCCAGTTCTTTTCTAAGGGGCAAACTATTCTTCAGCTTTTTAATAGCACTTTTCCCATTGTTATCTAACCAGGATCTAGAAAGAAAGAAAGAAAGAAAAAAAGAGTCATACACTTTGCAATGCTAACTATAATGTTAAAAGACATATGTGTTATCTTAAAGCAGCTCCAATGTTACACCAAGTTTTCAGTCAAACCTTTACTTCTAACAAGTCTATTCTTCTAAAGAAATATCTACTTTTAAGAGAGGCTGTCTGGAGGACTGCCAGCACCTGCCAAGTAACATTCTAGTTATGACAATTTCCTTTATAGACCATAAAAAAATAAATTTAATTCGCACCAAAACTGTCACTAGATTTCTGGAGATGGGATAATTTTTAAGAAAGTAAAGATAATTCTAAATCTTTCATTTAGGTTTGCTGCAGCATTCAAGAGACTGTATTATATCAGATCCTCATTTATATCAGCTATACACACGAGAGCAGAACTAATAATTATACAGCAAGTGAGCAAATAATATTATAGTAGGGCTCATAAGCTGTTAAAATCAAACCCAAAGAGTTTGACACCAATGACATTAAGAAGTGGCGCACCTTGAGGAAGGAACTTGAAAATAATTGTTTGTGGACTGTAGCTTTGTAGAATTCAATTTCTCCCTTTATTTTAAGCTTGGATTTCAGTACTCCAAGTTCTCAGTGCATCTTCCCTTATCCCTCTATCCAAATCCTTCCACTGGTCAGCCTTACAGATTTAGTTCTTTGGCCACAAGGTTTCCCAAAATACCTGCTCCTTCCAGGTAGGTCTCTTCACTAACCTGGTGCTCATTTGCACCTCCATTTCTTTTCATCCAACTAAATGCCCAGTGTAAGTCTCATTTCAACTACATCAGCTATATAATACAATAGGCTCGGTAGAAAGATGTTTTCCAATTCTTATTTCTTAGAATATTTCCCTCGATAGTCTTATAAGAAAAAAAAATATAAAAAAATACTTTAAGGATTAGCAGGGGACAGCTTTCAGAAAGGAGTGGAAAGGGAGGCTATGTGGCTTTCCAGAAAGTAGCACTGCCTAATGGAGACTGTCTCTTACTGGGTGCTCTGAGCATCATGACATGGATGTTTCTGTTGGTGCTCAGGGACTCTGGCTCCCCAAGGGAAGTCTGGAGAAATGAAAAGACCTGGGTAGAGCCCTGTGGGCTGAAGAGCTGCTGCAGATGTGTGGGCAGGGGTAGAATGGCAAGGTGACTACAGGCTGAAGGAAGGTTTCAGAGTCCTAGGTATAGTGGTGGTTTGGGATCTAGGCATAGGTGTGCAAGAGAAAACTCCAGAAGAGTGGGGGGAAATATATCTAAAGAACAAACAGATGTGTCATGGAGCTCATCATCAAGGGGGCACCTGAAACCCTGTGGAATATGTCAGTGAAGGTCACATATTAAAATCATGCTGCAGAATTCACATGTCCATCTCAAAAACATGGGCAAAAACCTTTAAACTTTCCTTCATAGTCACTTTAAAGGTTTAAGATGTTGTGATCTAAATCATTTAGAAAAGTATTCAGTTTAGAATCAAACAAATCATTATGTATTCACCAAACATTTATTCTCAATATATATTGCATCGAGTTGTGGATAAAAAGAAATAAAGTCCCTGCTGTAAAGGAAGACATACCTAATAAGGAAAAATAGTGAGAAACAATAAAAACAGAATAGGAGAAAATAGAATATTATCAGAAGAGAGGAAGCAACAATTAATTCTCCCTGGAAGGTTCTGTAGAACAGGTGATGTGTGATCTGGAACCTAAGAGATGTATCTTGATTTTCCTAGGCAGATAACTAAGAGGGGAGGGCATGTCAATCATGCAAGTACATAGAACCTATAAGATAAATCAATATGCTCAGATTATACGACACCTGCATAGGGTCAGGAGATGAGACTGAAGAAGTAGGGCAGGAGGAAGCAGACCACAGAGGCTCTTGCATGCCAGGATTAAGAACTGGGACCTCATCCTCTAGGAAAAGGTGTTTAAAATTGATAACATGAATTTGGAACAGCAGTCAATGATCATTCCTTTAAGAATATTAGCAAACATTTTGTTACTTTTGAATGGTATGTGATAAATAAGAAATTAAATAAAAAATATCTTAATTTATATCACTATTATTAGGTATTGCATTACATTTTTCAACCTTTCTTCACTTATTAATACATGTTATTCAGTTTACTTTAAATCATGTAAGAGAAAGCATAATGAATGTAGTATCAAATGACATACCATGTTTGGTTTGGGGATCAAAATGTCTTAAAATGTAGGTTGAAGGGCTGGGGGTGTAGCTCAATGGGAGAGCGCTCACCTAGTATGCACGAGGCCCTGGGTTCCATCCCCAGTTCCGCCAAAAAAAAAAAAAAAAAAAAAAAAGTATATTGAAATATAATCTTTTAATTATGCATTCATGACTCTAGAATTCTTACTATTAATATATAATAATCAACTGGTCTAGTTAACAATTTTTATTAACAAATTTTAATTATTTTGGAGATAAATATGTTTTTTAATTCACAAAGATGAAGATATGTGTTTCCTAGCTCTGGCCACAGAAGATCAATAGCAATTAAGTATGTGGAGCACACAGATGCTGGTTTCTAATAAACACTCCCTACTAAAAAGAATCAAAGCTTCTTAGAAAAATGGCTGAACCAAACAGTGGGGCAGAGACAGTTCAGATAAGCTTGGAACATCTTGATGAACTAGAATGAAATGGAGTACTCAAGGAATGCTGGGAACACAGGAATCAGTTAAAAGGAAACATTTGGCAACCAGGAAAGCAATGTGATTCAGGCAAGAATCGTCAGTGAATTAGAGTTAGGGGTAAATAAATATCTGATAAATAAAAGGATATTTACATAGTCTTAAGTATCTCCTCAAAAAACAAACAAACAAAAAAACCTAATTAAAGGGGAAAACAATAACTTTTCTGTGGAAAAAAAATGGGTGTTGTACTTTGGATCTTGAATGCCCCCAACTGCTCACATGTTGAAGGCTTGGTGTCCAGCCTATGGTGCTATCAGGAGGTAATGGAACTTTCTGGAGGTGAAGCCAACTAGGAGGAAGTTAAATCACTGGAGATGTGCTCTTCAAGGGGACATTGGTATGCTAGCCCCTTCCTTTTCTATTCTTTGGCTTCTGGTTGCCAGAAGGTGAACCAGACCTCCTTATGACATGCTCCTTCATGACATACTGGGCTGCCACAGGTCTAAAGCAAGAGGGCCAATCAGCCGTGTACCAAAATCTCTGACACTATGACTCAAAATAAACCTTTCCTCCTTATAAGTTGTTTATCTCAGGTATTTTGTCATAGTGATACAAAGATAACTAACAGAGTTAGGGAAATAAGAGATATGAAATCCTTCAAATTAATACAGGTGTAACTTCATCAGCACTCTAAGGCATGATGGTGAAGGCATTTAGTCTACACTACAGTTCACTTTGAGGGCCCCAAGAGAGAATTCCTTTTCTTGCCTTTGTTCCACACAGTTCTGTTCTCTCTCATTGTACCCTGCTAGGATCCTCTACTCTAAAATTACACTTTTTAAAAGCTAAATTCAAACCACGTGAGGTGTGATGATCTAGTTCAGGTTACAAAGATAATAATGCTCAAGAAATATAATCTAAGGCCCCTAAAATAAGCATTAAAAACTGAATACAACTATCCATTATAATTCTATGTCATTATTAATTTCACTTTTGAAGCTAAGAAAACAAAGATTCTATCTGGCTAATAATATATTTACATCAATGTCTGTCAAGATAATCAGCTATTGACAACTGGATTGAAAAATAATGATCAATAAATTGGAGAGTTAAATTTTCCCTGGCTAATTTCTAAAACAATGTTGCTGCCTCTTTAAGGGTAGATGAGGAGACAAAAATGAATTTTTTGAGTCTGTGTTTATAATTGTCAAAATAAGACCTTGAATTTAAAACCAAGCATACCTTGGAGGAGATCACAGTATCACAACTAATTCACCTAAACTCAGACCTATGACATGTGTCTCTTGCTAAAATCAGCAGTTATCTTTTAGTGAATATTAATGAAATTAACAGGGCACTATAAGAAAAATGACCATCTACATTCATTAATAAGATACTTCCATTGCTACCATCTTTATTAAGCTACTTTATGTTTCCATATTATTAAACTGTGAGTCCTCCAACACATTCATATTAATTCTTTAAGTTCTTTTTTTGTTGGTACCAGGGATTGAACTCAGGGACACTGAAACACCAAGCCACATCCCCAGCCTTATTTTGTATTTTATTTAGAGACAGGGTCTCACTGAGTTGCTTAGTGCCTCGCTGTTGCTAAGGCTGGCTTTGAACTCTTGATCCTCCTCGTCTCAGCCTCCTGAGCTGCTGGGATTACAGGAGTATACCACCACACCTGGCTCTTTAAATTCTTTAATGCAGGTCAATAAAACTACTGGGTGGGTACTATGGATGTATGAGTAAATAAGTACACAAAGAGATGATTAAAACATGTCTCTTACTCCTTTTTTTAAAAAAAATATATATTTTTGTAATTGTACACGATAACTTTATTTTATTTATTTTTATGTGGTGCTGAGGATCGAACCCAGGGCCTTGCACATGCGAGGCGAGTGCTCTACCGCTGAGCCATAACCCCAGCCTGAAAACATTACTCTTAAGAGCCTATCAGTATAATAAAACAAAGTCTACTGCATTTATTAAAGACTAAAGATTTTTATTAGAAGAATATTTAAAAAGAGAAATGATAAAGACTCCGAGTAGACAAGAAAGTCTGATGAATGCCACTTATCTTGTTGAACTTCCATTTTATAGTTTTAATTTTTTTCTCCATTGTTTTGCCAGCTGACTAGCTCTTGGTTCTGGGCACTTGGGGACAGTCTTTTCATAATGGCTGCATAATCTCTAGCTCACTCAACTGAGCCACAGACTAACTGCTTCTTTGAAGTTCTTTGACACTTTTTCCTTAAGCCCCTTCAACTGTCATTTGTGTCTTATCTTATCCAATCTCATTTCCTTTCTATACCCTTTAGGCCAGACATTTCCCAGGCCCCCCCTCCCTTTTTTTTTTGACTCAGCACATAGGTAAGCAGAGCAACATCCTCAGAGTCTAAGAAGTTGGATTTTCTGTTTTCTCTTTTGTGGTGCTGGGGACTAAACCCAGGGCCTTGGGCATGCAAGGCAAGCACTCTACCAACTGAGCTGTGTCCCCAGCCCAGAAGTTGGACTTGTATCTCAGGCATCCAAGGCTGAGCAGATCCCTGTCATCCCCTGCTCATGGCAATCATTTCAATTCCCAATACAGTCCCTAGGGCAGCTGCCCTTCATCCTTCCCTCTGTTTTTCCAAATCAAATTTCCAGTATATCAACTTTTATCCCACCCTGATGCTCTTCACTTTTACCCTTCTTACTATCTCATTAATTCTGGACTAAAATTATCATTCCCAATCTCATGTTTTCATTTCGGTTTTGTTTATAGAATAGAATTTGAACAATTAAAATCTAGGTTTAGGGCTGGAGTTGTGGCTCAGTGGTAGAGCACTTGCCTCAAATGTTTGAGGTACTGGGTTTGATCCTCAGCACCACATAAAATAAATAAAGGTACTGTGTTTATCTATAACTAAAAAAAATTGTATTTTAAAACTCTAGGTTTAGGGAGGTGATTTATCCATTAGTTACACATATGAACAAATACCATGGCTGGACTCTTACACAGGTACATAAACATGTGCCCTCAGATGCACATTTGTCCCCCTTTCTGGACTGGATTTTGGAATCTAGATAGAGAACAAGTGAGGAGTTCCAGAGTTAGTATAGATAATCCCCATGAAGCAGATGATAAGCCACTGGATAGTTAAGGCTCATTTCCTAAACTGCAGCAAGTCAGAATCCCTTGGTAAAGGACTGGATGCTTTAGATACAGCCATAGAAAAGGAATGTGATGGGTCCTTATGGAGTCTAAAAATGACTTTCTCAAAAAACATTAATGGTGGTTTAGCAAACAAGACATGCCAAAAGACAGAGAAATATTTTGTATCTGGTTTTCATAATTAAAAACATTAGTTTGGCAAGTAATCTATTCAAGATGACATTTTATAATGCTTCACTGTATTTTTTTGAATATACTTCTTAGTTGTAGATGGACATAATACTTTATTTTATTTGTTTTTATTTTTATGTGGTGCCAGGGATCGAAACCAGTGCTTCATGTATGCTAAGTAAGCGCTCTACCGCTAAGCCACAACCTTGGCCCCTCCCTGTATATTTTTTCAGTGTTATGTATTATTATACTGAAGTACACTACTAGTGAACTCTCAAAAAAAAAAAAAAAAAAAAAAGAAATGCTGCTCAATATGTAAAAAAGCTTGAAAATCTTCCACAGTCTTAGATACAGTCCTATTCCATATACTAGGTGCAACTTGGAACAGAATTTCAAAAACTTAAAATAATCTCTTACATACATTTAGAATCAAAAGACTTAAAAAAACAGTTGGAAATATTTTGGCAATGTTAAGAAATAAATATATCTTTTTCATAATGGTGACTGGAGTAATGATATTGATAGGATTAGTTTTCCTGGAAAATTAGACTTGAATTTTAAACATGAACTACAAATGCAGTTTAGTTAAATACAAACTTTTACATACGTTAGGGTTGTTTCTATTCTCGAGACTTGTTCAAGGTCTTCATCAGGGTCCTTGAATCCAGTAAAGGAGTAGTAAGACTTGTCCCATTTGATGGGCCTGTCAGACATCCTTTTAGTTTCTTTGAGAGGCTGGGAATGCACATTAGTGTTCATGCTTTGGATATGTTCAACAGATAAACTGCAGGAGTTGAGAATATATAATACTGTGCTTAGAAGATCTCTGGTGTGCAAAGTAAATTTGACTGCTCGAAATCCTAGAGAATATAATTCCCCCAAACAATTATTACAGATGATTATTTGCTGTAGCTTAAAAATCTTTTCATGCAACATTTATAAAATCAAAATCTTTCAAAACATTCCATTACTGATTAAAATTCATCTGTGAATGGGAAATTGCTGCCTCTCTCCAAAACATACAATGCTATTTTTACCTTCACGAATTGCTTTAACATCAGCTGCATTCTAGTTCAGTGACTAACCCCATTCCCACCCAAGAAGGGGTTCAAATTATCATCAATGCTGCCCATGAATGTGGTCTCTGAACAGATAGGAAAGCTGCTCTATGAGCAGGTCTCCCCAAAGTCCAGTACAGAGAGTGAGCATGTGAGCTCCTGCAGTGTTACAGTGGCTCAGATGAGGAGGGTAGGTTGTCTAGTCTGTGGTTACAGAAACCCATCTTGAATTTTCTTGTCCCTTTACTTGTCCACCCAACTAGCTAGTAACATAATACTTTTAGTAGTGATTAAAAATTACCTAATTGTTGGGCTAGGTATGCAGCTTAGTCATACAGCATTTGCCTAACCATGTGCAAAGCCCTGGGTTCCAGCCCCAGTATTGCAGAAAAAAAAAATGATCTAATTGCTTAAAAGTTAGTGCTTTGGGCGGGACCCGGGTTCTATCCTCAGCACCACATAAAAATAAAGGCATTATGTTGTGTCCATCTACACTTAATAAATAAATAAATATATATATATTTTTAAAGTTAGTGCTTCTACAGTCTGATTTTGATGTTGGGCAAAGTTTGGAAACCTAAATTGTTAAATCGTCAACAGGAAATCCATTGCGCTGTTTTCTTCCTTGATCAAAACTCGCTACCTCGGAAGTGCTCAAGAGCTACACAGACTATTTCCCTCACTGCAGAGTTTTCTTGGACAGTGTTGGTCTAAACCTTTTCTATGTGCTTGTGTATTACACACACACATACACACACACACACACACACATATATGCATATGTGCTTACATGGTTTGCATAGCTCATTTTTAATATGTAAATGGTGTCAATCTGGATATGTTATTTTGAAATTGCCTTTGCCACTTAATGTTGATGACTCTTTTACATCTGTATGTATAAATCAGCTTCATTCTTTTTAGCAGCTACATACTAGTCCACTTCATGACTATAGTATAATTTATTTAATGATTTCCAATAGTGATGGACTTATAAGTTGATTTCAGTTTTTCACCATTCCATACTAGACTGAAATGTGTTTTCTTGTCTTTGCAACTGATGATACCAAAATTGAAATCATTCTCAGAGATACATCTTCTGTTTGCCACAGACTTATAAAATACAGAATGTGCAAACTGAGAGATTTTTAACCTGATTCATTTGATGATGAAGTGAATGCTACAGGAAAGAGAGTTTTTCCAGTTAGTGAAGGAGGATAAGAAAATCCATACCCTACATTGTAGGTGAGGAAGAAATAGTTTTTCCTTAAAATAGCTAAGTCAAGGAAGAAATTTGTTTCTCTCTTAATTTATCAATTTATTATTTAACCCAATGAAAGGACTGCTATATACTGAGGATTGCCTATATCAGAGTGTACATGTCTTTGTGTAGCAAATAGTACCTAATTATTTCAATTTGTACCTGAATACTGAGGCTAAGCATTTTTAAAATTTTTATTTGTTCTTTTTAGTTATACATGGCAGAATGTATTTTGATATAGTATATGTACATGGGAGGCTAACCATTTTTATTGTCTATATATATGGATTATTTCCTGAGCTGTTCTTCATTGACTTTGCCCATTTTTTTTTTTTTTTTTAATGATGATCTGCTGTGTTCTCTTTTTGATTTGTAAGAACTCTTTATATATTAACTTTGTCTTTTGGTCATGTATGTTATGTTTTCTCTCATTCTTAATGTTTTTCAATAACTTAGTTTTGTTTAATAAATAGTTGAAAACAACCTTTAACTGAAAGTAGAATATTTTTTATCTTTATATAGTCAGAGCTGGCTACAGTGATTTGTTTTAGCATTAATTCACAGAAAGTTCTTAAAATAAAACTTATTTTAACAATAAACCTTATTTTCTCATGGGCAATCAAGAAAATATGGAACTGAAGAAATGACTAGGCCTTTAAAAATTTCAATGTCTTAATAATATAAAATGGTTCTTAAAATTTCCGTGATAAAAAAAAAGGAGTAAATGTTTTATCTTACTAACATCTTAATTACCAATGAAAGGCTGATTAATGATTTTTAGTACTCTAAGAAAAAAAATTGATTTTAATTTTACAATTGAATAAAAATGTTAAAGAAAAATGTGTTTAAAGGCTTTGTTAAAGTGCCAATCTGTGTCATAAAGGCAAAGGCAAAAAATGAGTACTAGCAATATTTTAAAGAATCATCAATAGACAGTATGGTTTATAAATCAAACCACTGGGCTAGGAATAAGGGAACATTAGCTCTAGTATCAGCTTTGCCCTTAATTTGCTGTGTGGAGCTAAGTTTCATTCTAAGCTTTCAAATTCAGCTTATTCTTTAACTACATATATATTCAGTATTTAAGCTAGTGGTGGTAGTGGCAAGTAGTAGCTGTAGACCTCAGAGTGACTCTCCTAGATACATACAAATAGACTGGAGATACTATTTTAAGAACTGTAAAAGGTATAATTTGCCTCTATTAATTTCATCTGTTTTCTTGGAGAAACCTAAGAATACTGATGTTATTAGTATGATGTTTCTTCAATTCCTAGCCTTTTTTTTTTTTTTTTTTTAAGGTACTGGGGACTGAACCTAGGGTGATCTACCACTGAGTTATACCTCAGCCCTTTTTTTTCATTTTGAAATAGGGTATTGCTAAGTTGCTGAGGCTTGCCTCACACTTTTGATTCTCCTGCCTCAGCCTCCCAAGCAGCTGGGATTAAAGGTTTGCGCTACTGAGCCTGGAAAATTCCTAGACTAATCTTGAAGTTTAATAATAGAAACACTATCCATTAAGTAACACTATGAACACTTGGTCTGAAACTAGCAAACAATATGTCTCATGGGACTCCCATAGCTAAGAAGGGCATATTTACAATGGTTTAAACAAATAATGATTATTTACACTTTCAAACGGAATTGTATCACTTAAAATGATACAGTTACTATTTATTATTATTTATAGCATTCTTCAACACAGCTGTTTCTTTAAAAAAGGGCTATGAGTTGACTTTTTCTCTCTGGATAATGACAAACAAGGGGTGATTTTAAGTAAAACTCTAAATCAGAGGTAGATGGAGAACTGTCAAGAAAAGGAATTTGTGATTCTTGATCTCCCATAGGAGAGGAAAAGACTGGAGAAAATATAGCATGAAATTCTGGTCCCTGAAAAGGCCAGGTGGGAAGCCATCATCAGCATTGAGACTCTCCTCAGGCAATCTTTAGATGGAGCCCTTCCCTTTACACCCTAGGTCCTGAGCGCCTCCTGAACATTAGGCAGAAGTGAGGGATCTCCAGTGGTCTCTACACAGCACTCTGGGGTCTTCACCTTGATCAATGAAGACCCCAAAGTTAAGTTAAAGTCACACAGCTCATTACTGGTAGAGTTAGACACAGATTCTAGGTCTCAAAAGACTTCCCAAATTCTGTTCCCAAAACAAATAATAGTTTGTTTAAAAAAATTATAATGCATTTTCTAATTGTTTTAGCCTTTACTCACAAAAAGCTCTTAGTAAATCTTCAAATGGTTTTAAGTTTATTCTAAAAATAAGGTTATTCCCTCAAGGATTGCCAAAGGAGATCTCTCTCTCTCTCTCTCTCTCTCTCTACACACACACACACACACACACACACACACACACACACACTTGGATAAAAGATAGTCCTTCAAAGCTTTTTACCTACCAAAACATTTGTCCCCAATGAAGAATTACTGATTATAACTAAAACCTTGACAAAAAGTACTGGGAAAAAGGCTGTGTTACGGTTGGTTAGATTTTCAAAACAGCATGAGGTGGGAGTTCAGAGACCTGGATTCAAGGTCACAGTCTATCTCTAGGGTCTTGGGAAAGTCACTGAACATTACTGTTACAACTGGGCAAATACTATCAACCTCTTAGGTACTGTTGGCACTAAATGAGAGAATGCAAACTATAGTTTTTAGAAGTATAAATTGTTATAGACATGCTTAACACTTAAGACAACACTGAAATAAGGAGACAAACAGGTACTTCAGTTTTACAGACAAGACAGTTAAAAAAAAACAACAACATAAAAAATGGCTTATCCAAAGACATGCAGTTAGGAATACAATCTAACCCTAGAAAAACAATGAATTAAGTGATACTATTTTTCAATGACCAAGGCTTCAATCCAAAGGTATTCCTTAGCAAGGTCAAAATTAATGAATATATGTAGCATGCAGTTTGCAAGGGACACACTAGAAATAAGACCACGTACCGGGAGAACTAAAGGGTTCCTGGCCATCAGACGGGTTCTGGTCTGTTTCTCTTACATAAAATGTAAGTGGAGTTGGTTTCAAAGACTTGAAGCCTGGTTTCTGGAGGTTTTCTAAGTAGACACTTAATCTCTTAAGAGAATTTTCATTGACTTCCTGGAAAAAAGTATGAATAGCATTTAAGACAAAATAGAAAAAGGACACAAGAGAAACTGTATCTAACCTTTTAAACACTATTGAGGTTATTTAATAATCTAGTTTAAAAAATTGGGATTTTCCTTTTTCTTCGTGCAATGGGGATTGAATCCAGACACTTGAACATGCTGGGCAAGTGCTCTATCACTAAGCCACATTCCCAGCCCTATAGAGCTCTTATCAATGAAGTACTAGGGAATCAAGACGAAGACAAAGTTGATGTAGAAGATATCAATGAACTGCAATGGAGTGATTTCCAGCATATACTGTCATATGAAAAGAAGAAATGCACTTTAGTGAAGGAACAGCTCTATAGAAGAATGGCATCAATAATCATGCTTCTTGTTACTCTAAGCCTCTTCTCAGGAACACAGTGTGATTGGAAATTAGAAGAAATCATTGTTTATTTTCATATGTTGAATTTATTATAATATGATGTTCTTAGCTATGAGAGTTCATAAGTCAGGTACATTTTTTGCTAGTGTGATGAAATCTTCCAAATTATTTTTGATACATGTTTCTATTTTTGTCAAGAAACAAAGGAAGAATAGGGGCTGCGGCTGTGGCTCAGTGGTAGCGCACTTGCCTGGCATGTGTGAGGCACTGGGTTCAATTCTCAGCACCACATATAAATAAATAAAATAAAAGTCTATCAACAACTAAAAGATTAAAAAAAGAAACAAAGGAAGAATAACACTAAAATTAACAAAAATGATTATCTATAGGAAGTGAAGAGAAATGGAATAAAGTAGATAAGAATGGAAACGAGACTTCTCAGTGAGCTTTATATTTAATTTTGACCTTTCAAATTTATAAATATTTTACATATTTTAAGATTAGTTAACGAGGATTTAAAACAACAACTCTGCATCAGTGTGAGATCCTGGACCTTGAGCCTGATGCTATGACCAAATGGGACTTGGGTCTGCTTCCTGTAAAAGGGAAGACTGGGTGAGTGTGTAGGAACAAGTTCCTGCATCAAGCCTGCATTTCAGTAAGGGTAGGGGGAAAAAAAAAGACCAATAAACTTCATAAATAAGGACATAGGATACCTGGAAAAGAAAAAATTAAAAACAGAAAAAAGCACTGCAGTGTAAGGAGGAAAAGGACTGCAGGAGGCAATGTGGGGTAGCAATTTTAAATAGCCTGGGAGAGCCTTACTGAAAGGTGATGTTTCAGTGAGAACGTAGAGGGCAAGCGTATCAGGGATACCCTGGGGAAGGATGTCTCAGGCAGAGGGAGCAGCTTATGCAAAGGACTGTACAGGGAAGGCACTCAAAAATACAAGGCAAAAGAGTAAGAATGTAAAGTCAGAAAAGCAATTAAACTCCAGGCACATTGTCAGGGTACCCTAGATCAGACTGAGATTCAGTGATTTGCTAGAAGGATTTGCAGAACTCAGAAGAGCAGTTATGTTCACAACTACGGTTATTACAACAGAAGGAGGGCAAATTAAAATCAGCCAGGGAAAAGGCACATAGAGCATAGTCCAGGAGAGGCCAAGGACAAGTTCCCAGATGTTTTTTCTCAGTGGAGATTTACGGACAATGCTTAGTCCCCCAGCAGTGATGCACAGGAAAAATGAGAAGTGCTGCCCATTAGGGAATCTCATTCAAGCCTTGGTATCCAGGGTTTAACTGGGGGCCAGTCTTATAGTTATGTAGTATCCATGTTACTAACTTTAGTTTTTCAGTCTTTAGCAGACCCTAGAGGTCAAATTGATAATGTGACCCAGGGCCTTATATGAGGAAAAGATGTATTTACCATGAATCACACTGTTAGCATAAACTATGTGGCATGGCTGACAGTTCCTGTTAGATGGTCTTATCCTATAGTTCATTCTCATCAGGCAGGACATTCCAAAGGCTCAAGGTTCATCTCCCAGCACTGAAGCCAGTTCTTTGCAGTGTGCAGGGCTTAAGCAACCCAAGTTCACTGAGTTAATCCTTTACAGCACACAGAGGCTGTGATTTAAAGACATTGTAGGTAAGGGAAAACACTCAAACATTAATAGGTTCATTTTTTTTTGCTTCCAGGTTTAAAAACTTTAAATTATCAACAATTCCCCAAGGTAACAGATAACTTTCTGTTGAATCAATTTAATAATTACTTTGAAAGTTTGTGACTTTGTGTAGTCAACATATGTTGGAAATATCAATAAGGATTATCTTCCTAGAGCAAATAAGTAAAATTGGTATATTTTTGACTGTAGATAGCAAAGGACAAAAAAAAAAAGTACTAATTTTCAAGAGTTTAAGTTCCTTTTCAAGTTAAATCAGGTACTGATATTGATGAAGATGAAAGGAACCAATAAAATAATTCCAAAGCATTTGGCTTTGTAATTCTATTATTATCTAATGTTAAAAATATTGACTGTCCTAAGTTTATCATGTTTTTTTCCTTATCCATTTGTACACAGTAACTGAAATTGTAAGAAGGCAATCCTAAAGCAAAATTACTAGGGCATTGCAAAATATTCCTTGAAACATCCTTAAAAACAGGACTGACTATGATGATAGAGGTTTAAGTTTTATTTCAGATCCTCAATTTTAATCCAAGAACTGGTACAGAAAATATGACTACTATGCCGGCGTGGTGGCGCATGCCTGTAATCCCAGTGGCTTGGGAGGCTGAGGCAGGAGGATCGTGAGTTCAAAGCCAGCCTCAGCAAAAGCAAGGCTGTAAGCAACTCAGTGAGACCCTGTCTCTAAATAAAATATTTAGAGCTGAGGATGTGGCTCAGTGGTCTAGTGCCTCTGAGTTCAATCCTTGGTACCAATAATAATAATAATAAGAATAAGAATAATAAAATAAAATAAATAAATAAATAAAAATTTTAAAAAAGAAAGTATGACTACTAATACTCCAAAGTTTACATGGAAACTTTATGGCCTGTATAAGAACAATGACAATTTTCATAAAAAACAATCATTATATTTCCAATTTCCAGTATTTACTTTTTATTAATTTTATTTGAAAATTTACTAATTTTCAAGTTTCTATATTTCAAATTTGATCAAAGCACTAATTATATCACCATGACAGAATAATCCAAATTTACAGAACTCTCTATATTATATAATGTCAGAGGTAAACAAATAGAGACAACAGGTTAAAAAATAAATAAAGATTTACCCTTTCTCGGGGATGCTGTCCAAAGAAATCTGGGTGGACTGCAAAATAGAAAGGCCTCAAGGCATTGACTGCTTCTGCTCCTGATAAAGCTCTTGAGTAGTGGAACCAGTGAGGCAGAATCTTTTCTAGACAGAACCTTTCAAAGAGACGTGGCCTGATTACTCTGAGCACAGACACATATCCCCAACATGTGCAGTTATAGTCAAGTTAGTACTATACATGGGAAATATCAGAGAACCAAGATAGAAACCTGTGGTTTTCTGAAATCTATTAGGGTTCTGAAATAGTGGTTATAATAAATTCCTCTGATTCAATATGAGAAATACTAAATAATAATAAAATTTCCCTTCCCTAGTCCATTTTGAAATATTAACTGGTTTCATGGCAAATGATAATTTTCTTTGTAAATTTTCTTCCTCAGAAGAAAAAAAAATTCAATATCCAATAGTGTAATTTCTCCATAATGAAAATAGTTTGATAATTACGACATTTATAAAGAGATGGAAGACGTCTTTTTATTTTAAAACACACACTAGTGTGTGTTAATAACATTATTTTAGCTGGATAACTTAATATTCTAATTGTAAAATTTTGGCATAATCCACCTGGAATGTTTTTACAATAGTTTTTCCCCAACTAAAAGAAAAGTATAGTTTTTAAGTCCAAATGAAATTATCTGGGCTGGGGATGTGGCTCAAGCAGTAGCGCGCTTGCCTGGCATGCGTGCGGTCTGGGTTCGATCCTCAGCACCACATACAAACAAAGATGTTGTGTCTGCCAATAACTATAAATAAATAAATATTTAAAAAAAAAAAAGAAATTATCTGCAATTTTTGGAAAGCATGCCATGAAACCTGTTTTGTTTTTAGTTAACATTTTTGAGACATGGTCTTGCTATGTTGCTCAGGCTGGCCTTCAATTGCTGAGCTCAAATGATCCTTTTGCCTCAGCCTCCTGATTAGCTTGGACTAGGTGTCATCATGTCTTGCTACACCTATTTTTAAATGTTATAATTTACCTTTACTATTCTAAAAGTTCTAAAAAGAAGATCTAGCTTTTGTGCACACATTCTTTCTGATATGGTAGGTGTGCTGAGTCTTTGGAAAGGTTTTACATCTTTTTTTTAAGGTTTTACTTTTTAAAATAAGACATTATTTTAATGTATAATAATTATTAAAATTCTTATTTAATAAGAAAAGAATCTTTTCTGGAGATTTTTCAACAATCTGGAGACTACCAACATATTTTCAGATTACCTTCTGTTTTTTGCATGTATTTGAACCTTTCATAAAGTCAATGTATAGTTTCCACATTAAGTATTTCAACAGGCCTTTGAACAGTAAGTAAAGGAAACAATAAGCCAAGGATTAAAGTCCTCAACATAAGTTTGTCTAAGTAGACGACAGTGACAACTCTTCTTATTCCCCCTCTGAGCTGTAGTTCTCATTTCCAAGTATATGACGGACACTTGGTTCTGCCAATCTCTTAAATTTTACATATCTAAATAAGGAGGAGTTATTTTTTTCCTTTCCTAATGTTGTCAAAACCTAAAATCCAAGCTACCTCACTACTCGTACCCATGTTCAATTACTTTGAAACTTGTCACTTTATAGTTCCTTGAAATCATTTCTTCTTTCCACTTTCTCTGGCCAATTAGCATCACCACAGAAACGGACTGTACGGTACCACAATTAGTCTACTTTCCTGTTTCTTTCCCTAACCACACTGCCTGCCACCAATAGGTTAACTTTCCTAAAACCCACTCACTGTAGTCCTGACACAAACACCTGTGATGGCTCCCACAATTTCTGTAGAATAAAATCTACTACTTAGTCCGGTATTTGAAGCTGCCCAATCTATCTTTCCAATGTGATCTCCAATTCTTACAGAAATCCCCAGTCAGGTCCCAGTGATCTTCCTCATTTTTTTCCCTTTCTTCTACATGATTATAGAGCCCTAATAATCTTCCCTGCCACCCACTTCCACCTTTCCAAGTTGTATTTGCTTATTTAACAATTACCACATACTACTGTGTACCAGGAGGTATGGTACCCATTCCCCCTAGAACCTTCCCTTTTATATTCTCATTACAAATAGTCATTTCTTCAGGGTACATGTCTCTGATCCTAGCTACTTGGGAGGCAGGAGGATTGCAAGTTTGAGGCCAGCCTAGGCAACTTTTTACCCTGTCTCAAAATAAAAAATTAAAAGGGCTCAGGATGTAGCTCAGTGGTAGGGCAGCCCTGGGGTCAATTCCCATTACCACAAAATAAATAGGAATTTCCTCTTCTAAACTCTAAAATAAGAAAAAAACACTATGTTCTGCATATTTGAAATATAATATCATAAAGTGACTGTGCTAAAGGGAAAGGTGATCGTTTTTTTTTCTCTTAAAAAATTTTACACCCAGTAATATTCTGAAAGACAGTATTCTTTTTCACTTTCTGCTCTGAGTGGACTCTTGGAGGACTTGGCTGTTCATGTGAACTTTGTTTTCCCTTTTTGTTCCTGCCTTCCACTATAACATAAAATAGCCTTAGAACTTGAAATTAACCAAATGCGTAACAGATTCCCCCTTCTTCCCCAATGTTAACTATAAATTGGACCATGAAGCTTACCTCCTCCAAGGTCTCAGGTGGCAGAACATTTCTGAATATATATGTATGTCAACTTCCAGGCATCCATCAACTGCTTAAAAAGTTAAGCAGAAGCCACAAATGAACAAGTGGAATTTGCAATTAAAAACACATTGCCAGTTATGTTACCAACCCCCCAAAAGGAAATATTTAGGTTAGTCTAATAAAATATGGATAAAATTATACTATAAAACCATAAAACTCTGATAAAAGAAATCAAAGATATAAGTAAATGGAGAGACATCCCATGTTCATGAATAAGAGGACTCAATATTGTCAAGATATCAATTCTTTTCAATTTTGTCTATAGATTCAGTGCAATCACAATTATTTTATGGATATAGAGAAATGGAACCTAAAGTTTATGTGAAGAGCAAAAGATTCAGAGTAGCCAACTCAATGTTGAAGGAGAATAAAGTCGGAAAGACTGACACTACTTGACTTCAAGACTTACTCTAAAGGTACAATAATCAAGACAGTGTGGTACTGGCAAAAGAACAAACTGATCCATGGACAGAAAAGAGAACCCCAAAATAGGTCTATGTAAATATAGTCAACTGATTTCTCAAAGGAAAAAAGGCAATACAATGGAGCAAAGATAGTCTTTTAAATAACAGACATTGGAACAATTGGATATCCACATGCAAAAAAAAAAAAAAAAGTAAACTAGACACAGAACTTATACCCCCGATAAAAATTAACTCAAAATGTATCATGGACCCAAATATAAAATGCAAAACTATGAAATTCCCAGAAGATAACACAGGAGGAAATCTAGATGACCTTGAGTATGAAGATGATTTTTTAGATAGACTACCAAAGGCATCACCCATGAAAGAAAGTATAACTGACAAGCTAGACATCATTAAAATGGAAAACTTCTGCTCCATGAAAGTCAAGAGAAGATGACGAGGGCTGGGGATGTGGCTCAAGCGGTAGCGCGTTCGCCTGGCATGCGCGGGGCGCTGGGTTCGATCCTCAGCACTACATAAAAATAAAATAAAGATGTTGTGTGCACCGAAAACTAAAAAATAAATAGAAAAGAGAAGATGACGACAGCCATATCACATATAAAAGATGTATCTGATACTGGACTGTATCCAAAATACACACACAAAAAAACCTCTTAAAACTCAACAATAAGAAAGTAAACAACCCAATTAAAAAATGGACAAAAACCTGAACAGACACCTTACCAAGAGGATTTACCAATGGCAAATCATATGAAAAAAAGTTTAACATGTCACCATGGAACTGGAAATTAAAGCAGTAATGAGATATTACCACATACCTATTAGAATGACCTAAATCTACAACACTGACTACATTGACAACAGTGTACTGCACCTACAACAGTGCAGGCAGGGACGTTGAGCCACAGGAGCTCTCATTCACAGCTGCACACTCACTGTTGATGGGAATGCAAAGTAGTACAGCTTGGTAGTTTCTTACAAACTAAACATACTCTTACCATCCCACCCAACAATTGCATTCCTTAGTATTTATCCAAATGAACTGAAACTCATATCTATACAAAATCCCACACGGATGTTGATAATAGTTTTATCCAATGTTTGGAAGCAACAAATATGTCCTTTATATAGGCAAATGGGTAAACTATGGTACTTTCAGACAATGGAATGTTATTCAGGCTAAAAAGAAAGAGGGTATTGAGCCATGTAAAGACATGGAAGAAACTTAACTAACTGCATATGTAAGTTAAAAAAAGGCCCAAATTAGAAAGGTTACAATTCAAAATATATGACATTCCAGAAAAGGCAAAAGTATGGAGATAATAGACCAGTGGTTTGCCAGGAGCCAGAGTTAGGGAGGAATGAATAGACAAGACCCAGAGGCTTTTTAGGGTTGTGAACCTCTTCTGTATGATACTACAATGGTAGAAACTCATCACATTTGTCAAAATCCTTAGTATGTGCACCACCAAAAGAGAACCAGATAGAATGGACTTAGGGTAATAACCATGTGTCAGTGTAGGTTCACTGATTATAACAAATGTGGGACTTGGGCAGTGCAGGAGGTTATGAGTGTCTTGGGACAGGAGATAAGTGGGAATTCTGTTTACTTTCTGCTTAATTCTGCTGTGAACCAAATTTGCTTGAAAAGCCCAAATTACTGAACAATTCAAAAGTTGCATTTAGGCCTATGATGGTAACAATGCAATCTGGGTTTAACTGTCTTGAGTGATATCTCAGTTTATGAAATCATGGGGGATTTCCTCCACTAAAAAGAAAGCTTTTGTGGACAGGCAGAGTTCTTAGAAAAAAAGTGAAGCCCCACCCGCAAGCAGTTACCTCTTTGGGTTTCAGCAGCAATGCTGGCACTGGAGCATTTGCCTACTATGTGAGGCCCTGGGTTCATCCCTAGCACGAGGGGTGGAGGCAAAGGTGTTTTGTGGCTTCATGAAAGTATTACTTTAAGTATTATTAAATTTTCCATTGTATCGAACAATGAGGAAATTTGCTGTATACATAAAAAAGCTGAATGTTTCCAAGTCTTTTAAAAAAATAATTACTAAGGCTCTTCCTAGATTGAAATTTTAGTTTTGATGAAACTGGTCTACACTAGATTTAATATGATTTTTGTTAAGGCTCTTGTAAAATTCAGTAAGTTCTAAGTGGTGTGTAGCTCCCCCGCATAAGCCCTCTTACTCTAATGCATTATCTCTCAGGATGTGAGGCTTTCCAAGAACGCATGTGTGACTGTATGCCAGAAACACCTGTATATTACACTATTACTCCAAACTGCCCTTTAATTCTGAATTTAAAATTTTTATTAACTGAATTAGCACAATGCTATAGTTTACCAGACTGGAGTTTAGTTTAGTCAGGGAAATTAGTGAATATCTTAATGACTTTTGTTTTTATAAAAAACAAAAAATTACAATTCTAGTTCCAGCAATAAAGAACAATAAAACAAATGAAAGAATAACACATATATCTATCATGCTTTTTATCTGATGCTCACAAGACTAAAGTCATTTAGACTGTGTATTTAAGAAAAAAAATGGCTGAAAGACACATACAAAATACTAGAAATAACCATTAGAGATATTTTAAAAGGAAATATATAATTTAGAACATTATGATTATTGTTTAACACTCTGGTTATGGAATCCCACATCTAATTTTTTGTACATGTTTTCAGGAGTACATAAGGTATGAAAGTTGGGGTTAACTATTTCACAGGATTTGTTAAGTAACTTAAGAAAAATAATATACATAAGGGGTTGGCAACATTGGCAAACAGAAAATTCACAAAAGTGGCAACTATCATTATTATATAATTAAGGGTATATAAAAATTGCAGAAGTCTTTTTCCAACTTAGTGAGGGCTTACATATAGATAGAACATGTAGTTAACTATAATATTTTATTTGAAGACAAATTCTGGGACTGTAAAATACCCAGAATTATCACAGTAAATGATCAATGTCTGAAAATCTTAAAATGTACAATGCAGTAGGTAATTTTGCTAAGACTTCATAGAAGTCTTTTTATTTATTTATTTTTTAGATGTAGTTAGACACAATACCTTTATTTTATTTTTTGATGTAGTGCCAAGGATTGAACCAGGGCCTTGCACATGCTAGGCCAGTGCTCTACCACTGAGCCACAACCCTAGTCCCTGAATACAAGTCCTAAGTACATTAAGTACAAATGACTGACTTAAGTATTTCAAACTTTTTAGTAGGAAAAATTATTTTGAATCTATCAGAATAAACATGGCTAATTGTTTATGTTTACTATTTCAAGACAAAATTAGTGCCTGCTTAGTAATAAAACATTTGTTTTGATAGAAATAGTATTTTTTTTCTCCTCAAAAAAGAAAACTGATGTGGGTATGATAATGTTGTGGTATGGGAATTGCTTCTTTATAAATTAATACTGATTTTTAAAAACACTGTTCCTTGGAGGACAGTGGAACAGTGAGAGGGAATGTAACTTCTTTTGCTGCTTCCAGCAATTCTCCCTTTTCACATACACCTTCCTATAGGAATATGTCATCAATTATATTGAGAAAGGAGAAAATTATATATATATATATATATATATGTATGTGTGTGTGTGTATGAATTCATATATATATATTCAGTTAATAATTCTGACATCTACTTAAATTATTGTTCTAACATAAACATTTCCTACACAAATCATGGGAAGAATTAAACGTATATTTTCTGGTTCTTTTTAAGAATTGGAATGGAAATGGATGTTTTCCCTTGGAGACCTGTAAGTGGGAAATAACTATCACATGTTTCCTGTAAACTCTCCTTTAAGCTCTGAAGACTTAAGTGACAGGGAAACTGTGATTTGATCTAGCTCGTTTTGGAAAAGGGAAAAGGATAAAGGAAGAGAAAAAATACAACTTTAAGGGCCGAAGTCTTAAAGCAAAAACAGCATCACCAGGAACTTGTCAGAAATGCAGATTATTAGACCCCACCCCAGCTTTGCAGAACCAGAAACTGGGTAGGAGCCAGAGATCTCTGCCAGGACACACTCTCAGGGGACTCTGATACATGCTCACTCTGACAGCTGTTGCTTTAGGTTCTCAGAGGATTCTGAGGTGTCTGTTAGAAAGCTTTTAAACTTTAATTCACTAAAAATACCTAATACAGGGTTGTGATTGTAGCTCAGCGGTAGAGTGCTCGCCTAGCATGTGCGAGGCCCTGGGTTCCATCTTTAGCATCACATTAAATAAATAAATAAATAAATAAATAATGAAATAAAGGTATTGTGTCCAACTACAACCAAAAACATAAATTAAAAAAAATTCCTAAAACAAACACAGGGAAAGATCTTTAGATGCACAATCATATGCCAAGTCAAATAATTTTAAAATTGTTCTGGAACTAGTTCCTTGTTCCCTGTATAGCTTATTTACTTTTTGAGATTTTGAAAAATAAAATTCTAAGTGGAGACAATGAAAGAGTCCAGCAGGCTGTCAGGCATGGCTGCTTGCCTTTGTGTGTGACACAGCTCTTGGTCTTAACCTTGCAAGACCAAGAACCCAACTGTACCGCTTCAGGCATAAATAAGCAGGCCCTGGAAAAACTAAATCAGAAGAGGTCTATCTGATGATCAAAACACCAACCTTTTAATCTATGTTGAAAGACATACTGCCGAGAATGGTAGAAGATTCAGATCTCATGTTTTCTTCCCTTACAGAACCAGCTACACAGAAAGTCATGTTACTATCAGCTGACTGAAGATACACTGCTAGAGTACTTGGGTTCTCTCCTATGTAGTAAAGTGAGCTGTGAAAGCTTGGGGCATCCACATCAATTGTAGGCTTCTTGTCTTTAAACTCTTAATGCAAGTGGTTCCTGTCCATATTTCACTTAACCGGATAGCCTTCCATTTCGAAAAGGCCTTAGGCATGCTACAAAACAACTAAAGAAGTTAGGCTGTCTTACCAGACTTGGGAGGCATTCTGGGTCCAAGAAGCACCCACCCAAGGCTCATGTGCCAAGTCCTGTGTAAAGTTCTGGGAATAGGGGGAAAAAAATCAAGACAGGGCTGGGTTTGTGGCTCAGTGGTAAAGTGCTTGCCTAGCATGTGTGAGGCAGTGGGTTTGATCCTCAGCACCACATAAAACATAAATAAAATAAAGGTGTCCATCTACAACTAAACAACAACAACAACAACAAAAAAAACCCCAAATCAAGACAATTCCAGCTCCCCAAAATCTTAAGTATAGAAGAGGGAAGAAGTGGAAAAACAGACACACAGGCAGATGATCATAAAACAATACAGTAAATGTAATGATACAGACATGCACAGGGTAAAATAAGAAACTGCCAGGTCTACACCTAAGGGCATAGGCGCTCTGGAAAGTCATGTTCAAGGAGATGGGTGTACTCTCTATATGGGGACTGGAAGATGGGAAACAATCCATTTACAGATCACTTAGTGTCTGTGCAATTCCAAACCAAATTTATTGGAAAGATAATTGGTGAAAAATCCAAATTATGGGGCAGTGTAAGAAAAACTCTTACTTAGATTACTTTCGCCAGATACAGAAACAACAATTAACAGTGTTTGCCAAGTGGAGGTCCCAGGACTGAGCTTTGACCTCTTGGGACAATTTTCATTTTAAAGTAACTTATTTAACAATTAACCTTAGGTTACTCTCATTTAAACTGTGACTTCCCTTAGTAACTATCTTGTAAGGTTTTTTCTGAAAGCAGGTTGCTCCATCTGGCTCTTTTCTAAATCCCTTGCTATGAAATTTAAGTCGTAACAATTTGCAGTAAGACAAACACTTTGGGAAATCTTAAATCGGAAACAATGAAGCCTAAAGTCTGTGTTCTCCTTTCAAGGAAAGACGAAGCACATATAGATACCCGCGCCCCGGACGAGCTTTAAAAGTTCAAAGCCCAAGCTGAGGTGGTTCGAGCTCTGCCTCTGCTTTCTCCTCGGAAGGGACCGACCTAGGATCAGGGACTGGGCCCGCGCTCCTCACAGCTTGGGCGTTCCAGGAGGCCGAGTTGTGCGAGCGCGCGCTCGCGGGGAGCCACCGCCCACGCCAACCAAGGAGCCGATAGGCCGCGCGCCGCCGTATCTCCGAGCGCCCGCACGCGGCCGGGTGCAGGTCAAGCAGCCTTAGGCCAACGCGCCTGCGCGCGGGCCGAGCCTCGGGGCGCCCCGCCGCGCTGACGTCGGCGCCACAGCCCGTTGCTTCCCTGACTTCTTACCGGCCGCCCGGGGGGCTCCGCTGAGAGCTTTAGGAGGCGCTGAAAAGCGCTCCGGAATGTGCGGGACTAGGCTGCAGGGAGACGGGTGGCTAGCCGGCAGGAGGTGGTCTGGCCCGAGGGCCGGCGGGAGGGCGGGGCATCACGAAGGGCAAACTGGGCGCGCGCTGGGGGGCGGGGCACGCATGCGCAGCGCCGCTATGCCCCGCCCCGGAGCCTGGCGAGGGATGCCGCAGTCAACGCACTCTGGGGACTCCCTGAAGGCGGCTTCGCGCTCCAGCCCCCGTCACGGTCACATCTTGTTCTTTATTCATTTTTTTCTCTCTAAATGATATGAATTTATGGTTTTAAGCACCAAATTAAAAATGAGGACTATTATGTTGGCGAGTACGCTGCAGATTTTAAAGCTGTCTTCAGAAAAGAAGTTTTAACTTCCAAAGTGGTTTGGATAGTTCTCGTATTTGTTCCTAATGTAACAAAATACAAATATTCAAAAAGCAGTATTCTAAGATGCACCAAAGGAAAACTTCAGGAAGCATGCCTTTAAATTCAGAAGGTACTTTGAAAGTTGTGTTCAAGTCGCTTTAATATTATTTTACCATTTGCAAAGATTAGTTGTAGGTTAGCTTAGACTGAACTGAGAACCCACTAATCCCTTTCATACCCTTACAGAAAAACTTCAAAGTTTTTCTGAACACTTGTTACCTGCTTGCAATGTTCCTTTTTATTAAATGGTGCACAGTATTCAGTGATTTTTTTCCCTGTTTGGGTTTTGCAGTAAATGGGGATTTACCACACCGAAGTTCTTCTAAATTAATCTGAAAGGTCACTTTCAGTGTGGATAAAACTATTACAAATTACATATATCAATACAAACTTTTATTGCTTAAAAACAGTTAACTTGCTATAATTTTAAAAAAGTGCAAAAACTCAAAAGTGAAAACTTTATTTTTATTGCTTTTTATTTTCAACAATGATTACTTGAACTTAAAAAAAAAAAAAAAAGCCTTTATTAACTAATGATTACTGAAAAGCCAAACCTTTCCAGCCCATTTCATATTCTCTTTCAACCATTTCAGGGCAGAACAATGTTCCAAACTATAAACCTGTTCCTTATTAACATTGACAGTCATGTGCTTAATGAAAAGCTTTGGATCCGATATTCGAGCAGCCATAATTAACCTTTCCACTGCAGCTTGATAATCATCCTTGCTCCGAGGCTTGTTGTCTTCACATCTATAAAGTGAACATCTCACAAAGTCAGAAATTCTAAAAAGCAACAATATGGTTTCTTGAAAAGCTTCATTTATATTGGTACTAAGCCATGACACTCCTTTCACTTTATTGTTTTAGAAGTATCTTTCAGACAATGACCCATGCATGGGAAGAAAGGTATTGTAAATTTTGACCCAGTAATATAAAAATTTCATAAAAAACGAGAAATCTCATAAAATAGTTACTCTGATGATGATGATGTACATTTTATACTGTCTTTCAATTTTAATGATGGTGGCAACACCCAAAAATGATTGCATCACAAACTAGGCAGCAACTGATGACTTGTAAAATACTGATCTAAAACATAATTACCTATCACTTTGTATTTGCAAAGTTAATGACTGTATAATTATTCACTATAATGCATGAAAGAATATTAAATGAAGTTTTGCATTACTGACAACTGCATGTTAATTTTATCTTGATATTGACTATTGTTAGTTGAAAGCAAATAATAGTGGCTAATATTTGGTATCGAACTGTATTGCTGTATATCTTAACTTAATGAAGTAACAAGTCAGGACTGAAGAAAGTAAGTGCTAGAATTTACTTTTCTAATAAATACATTTTCTACCAGCTCTCTGCTATCAGTTGTGACTGTGTGTGCTTGTGTAAAATTCATTCTTTAGGGCACTTTTTCCTCTGGGATATAGGATGGGAAGTATTTAAAATAGAGATGTAGGTGTTATATTAGCACTTGAAACAGGAGCCAATGGTCAAAGAGAGGAAAAAGTGGCCAAGTGCCTTCTAGCTTAGCAAGTGGTGTTCTGGTAGACTGAGCATATGCCAAATATGTGTAGTGTTTTGAAAATCTAAAGATGAGTAATATTTTCTCTCAGAAAGGTTAATACTATAAGGCAGAGCTCAGCATGATAATAATAAGAGAAAACATACTCAGCTTGGATAAAAAAGAAATCAAGTTCTATGGATGTCACTAGTTATGCTCTAGGGCCACAAATACCCCCCAAATTCAACAGTGAGTAAATAGACGGCATGTGTGAGGAATGGAATGCTACCAGAAAAATCAAGCCCTCATTAAGATGATGGGAAGCCCAGTTGCCTCAGGCCACTATAGTTCACAGTGGTAAAAAGGAAATCCTCAGAAAACAAAGCTATTAAAAAAAAAAAGTGTGTGCGAGGGGGTCCTAATTTTAGTGGGTTTTAAAAAAAAGGTGGAGCTGAAATTATTTTCTTTCTAGTGAGCTAGACTAAATGACTTCTATAATTAACAGAAGAAATCCAAAGTTGTTCACTGTCACTTTGGTTACTAGGTTGTTGGGATGACAATTTTCCATGGTATCCTGAAATTTGGGAAGTTTTTTTGAAAGGCACCAACTATCCTTTGTTCATTATATATAAACATCCTTGAAATTTGGAACAATCTTGAAAGCCAGGATAATTTCTCCTTCAGGAGAAAAAGGCAGGTTTATTTACAGCATTAGAAGATGGAGATAGTATCTCCCTGCAGAACAAAAAGTAGGCATGCTATTTCCCATTATAAAAGATTTGGATTCTCTTAAGCTTGGGACTCCTCTCCTGTAACAGAATCCAGTGCATCTGCAGGTAATACACAAAGGTCCATTTGTGGATTTAGGAATGAGAATGAATAATATAAATATGCACATAGTCATGCTGTTCCCTGCACCACAACTAATAAAGTACTCTTGTCTCCAACAGAAGAGTCTTGAGTCTCATGCAAGCATTCAGGAAACTGTGGCATGCTAACTTGTAACTTAAAGATAGGGTAAAATCTGACACCATTCACAGTTCTTGCTTGATATAGGTCACAAAAGGCCTTGCAGTTTTCTCCTTTTACTCAAGCAGCCTATGGAAATGCTCATGTGTTGAACTGAGGCTTTCCGACAATAGGCAATCAGGAGATTCAACTAGGAAAGGCAATGTCCAGATGCAGTCAAGGCATCATGTAGAAGACTACAGCTCCTGACGTTCTGACTCCAATTACATGAAAAATTCTGAGTCTCGTAAAAGATGCTGAGCTTGAACCATCCAGCTAAACTGTTCTGAAATTTCTGACCCACAAAAACAAAGATAATATTTGCTATTTTAGGTACTAGATTTTAGGTTATTTGTTATGCAATAGAAAACTATGCAACAGTATTCAATCTGAGGATCTGATTCATTACATCAATATACTGAAGCAAAATTCTTGTCAAGAAACTCTATAATAGGAGTCCTGTGAGATCTTTATGTTTTAGGTTTCCTGGGTTAGGCTAGCAAGAAATCAGTGGTATAAGTCTAAATTCAGGGGACGTTAAAGTGTCACTCTAGTCTAACACCTACATTATAATATCTATGCATATATAAAAACATTTTAAAATATGGAACCTAGGCTGATGGCTTCATTTTCAGTAGTATTCTTGACTGAACCAAGTAAAATATCACATATTTCCCATTTAGACCTGTGGGTTCCCCCACTCCCCTTTGGTACCAGGGATTGAACCCAGGGTGCCTTAACCACTGAGCAACATCCCCAACGCTTTTTAAAATTTTTTATTTTGAGATAGTAAGGCCCTAAGTAACTTAGCAAGGTCCTTAGTTCCTGGGGCTGGATTATAGGTGTGTGCCATTGCACCTGGCTTAGACCTGGTTTTTACATCTTTTGGGTTACCAAGAACTTTTAGGTACCAATCTCTAAACAATTACAATTTCTAAACAAATAGGTACAATTATAGGAAAAGTGGGTATCTGAAGATCTTATCTTTTTCAAATCTAACAGCTTCGAAGTCACTTGAAGTGTTCGAATGCTACTAACTTTTATTTTGGTGGTGCTGGGGATTGAAACCAGGGCTTTGAGCATCTTAACCATGTACTCTACTGCTGAGTTACATGCCCAGCCCAGCCCAGCCCCTTAACTTGTTTAGTTTTAAGTCTCAAATCCTATGCTTTCTTAAATATTAGCAAATTTTATAATACACATATGTTTATATAATCTATCTACAGAGTATATGTAAATATAAAAATATACAAGTACAAAAAACATTTGTAATGTAGGACACGTATGGGAAACCATAATGTGCTTTCAGAATGTAGTTAGTTTTATCAACCAACCTTTTCAAAACTATCTGTAACATCTGTGTGGACGTTCCAGGACTCTGAATACTACTAGCATTAGATACCAGGAAGATTTCAATAGCTAAAAGCATTTCAATCTCAGATAAATAAGAAGGAATCAATAGAAGTTTTCGGTATAAATTTCCCTCCAGTGGTGGATAGCAACCTAATGAAACAGCACCTGAAAAACCAAACAAGTAAAACTTTACTAAAGCTCCCATAAGTAAAGACCTAGACATCTGAAATATCCTTAGGTGACAATTACATTATGATAGAATAATTCTTCACATTAGATTTACTACACAAGTTATATGGTAGTGAGTTTCTTAGTACACTTGACATTATTCTTTATAAAATACTTTTGAAACATTAGATATAAAGTGGGAAATATAAGACTATCTGAAAAATGACATTTTTGTGGCAGGTATCATTTTAAGCCAATTACAATGTAATTAAAAAAAAACAGAATAGCTCCTTAGGATTTTTTTTTCCAATGACATCTGGTTTTAATGTATTTATAGTTATTGCCTATTTTGAATTATGAATCTAAAACATGAATTATAACATGAAGTTTTTGCTTGCTATCAAATATTTTTAATTAACTTACAGAGCCATTACAGTGTATACATTACTGTTTCTTACTATGTCTTACATTGTGTTAAGCACTAGATTAAAATATATTTTCATTCTATAGTGCTAGGTGTGATATTACTATATTCATCAATTCATGTTCTAAAATAACTTTTCAAGGAGATTGAATTTTGAAACTTATTTTAGGGGCTTA